TGTTGTTCATTGTTCAATTGATGAGAAATATTAGAGGAAGATGAAGATAATTTCTTTGGAGTGAGCATACTTTTCAATGATGAAAGACTTTTCTTTCTTTCTTTTAGGGTATTATTCGAAGAAGAGGAAGAATTGGACGAATTGTTGTTGGACGAATTACTAGACGAAATGTTAGCAGCATTGGCTAAATTATTATTTAATTCAGTTAATAGTGCAGAACTACTGGTAATGGTGAGGGTTCCTCGCTTTGTTGTTGTTGTTGTTGTATTTGATTCTTGTGATGAGCTGTCAGTGTTGGCATTTGACATTGATGAAACGGATTGGGATCTACGATAGGCATCATTTTCGTTTGGTGATGGTGTTGTAGGTGATGTTGGTTTTTCTGGAATTGTTATTGGTTGAGAAGACGATGACAGCGACTTTCGTTTAAACATTTTTTTTTATGAAATTTGACAGCTAATGGTTTTGACATTTTATGAATGCATAAAGAGATGAACTTGGTCATTCTTCCAAATATTTACCAACAGGCCTTTCTTCTTCTTTCTAATAAAAATTGAACTAGTGTTTTTTTAAAATTTTGTAAAGTTTTACAACAGATTTGTTTTCCTTCATGTTCGTTCAACAAATATGTTCAAATATAATTGAAAACTATTTCTCCAAATTGATTCTTCAACTATTTGTAAAAAATTATAATTCTTTGATTTTAAATTTTAAAAAAAAATTCAAAACACTTCAAAATGCAACAAAAGGAGGAATTTATTCATCATTTGGATGGCTTGATGAATGTGCAGAATTTGCACGATCAGGGAATGACTCCACAAGATGTTGATTTATTATTGTGGAAGAGAGGTAAAAAATCAAGTGAATTGGTGCATGGCAAGTTGGAGGAGATGAAGATGGGTGAACAAGAGATTGGGCAATTGATTGATCAATTGTTGGAATCCAAGTCCGATGATCAAGTTAGGGAGAATAGAATTGGTGTTATTTTGGCAATTGTTTATGAATTGAGAAGTGAAAAGTTGATTCAATTAATTACTGATAGAAATACTCCTATTATGATTGTTGATTTGATTGTTAAGAATTTGACAAGAATTTTGAAAGATCAAGATGAATTTATGAAATTTTTCAATGAGAAATATGATAAATTGAATGATCATGTTAGAATTAGAATTGAAAGATGTGTCAGAAAGACGAAACCAAAGTGGATTCCACAATTGTTGAGTACATTGTTGGAAAGAAAGGCTCCTTCAAGAGAATGCATGTGTACTTTGGGACATTTAGAATCAAATCCAGAAAATGACATTTTAATTGTTAAGGTTCTTAAAGATCTTAAAATAGAATTAAATGACATGATGTTCAGTCCATTATTTAGAAAACATACAAAGGCAATGAGTACTTTTTTGAAAGATAGAATTGAAGAAATATGTGGAAACAATCCTCAGAAAGCAGCTCAATACTTTAACTCGCAAAAATTACCAGTGTTTCTACTCAAACAGTTTCCTAACTTTGCCTGGGAATTGATTTCAAAGTATTTGGTCAACCCATTCTTGGAAAACAAGTGTCAGAAATTGTATTTGAACAAGTTTTGGTACATTCCAACATTTTACACTCATCCATCTTTTGTAGAGACGACTGAAAAAATTATTTCACTCACCAAAGATCCTTCCCTCATTCATGCACGTCAATTGGTTAACAGACTAACTATCAAACAATTAGCCAAAATATTGTTTGCAATTATTGAAAGTTTTGGATATTCTAGATCAACCCATGCCAAACACTTTATTGGGATTCTACTCTTTAACAAAGCAAAGCATTATGCCAATAGAAATGTTCTATTCGAAAATATGTATTCACTTGGTTTGAATAAGGAAAAATTCATTAATTGGATTGTCAATAATTGCCAAACAGATCAAATACCAATGATTTTGAATATTCTACCATGGGATATTGCATCTGCAGTTGCTGAAAGAATATATCAATTGAGAAAGAAAGAGGTTTTCAAAAATTCTTCTGAGGAGAGTATTTATTGGAAATACTTTTTCAATTTGGATGATAATGATCAAAGAAACCAATTCAAAAATGCATGCTCGAATCCAGTTGGTGAAGTAAGAGCTTGTGTTTTGAGAGATTTACTCTTGTGTTCGCTCATGTCTGGAAAGCAAGTGAGAGAAACTTTAGAATTTATTGAAACCAGAATGAAAAACGATACAGAGGTTCAATCCAGATTATTCAATCAATATAATAGAGACAACTCAATCGATAGCTTTTTGGGCATTCATTTCAAAGATCATTCTGAACTAATTCTCAATATTTTAAGCAAGGTAAACTCGTACTCTGCTTCTTCAATTTATCAGGCTCTTATTTCTCAAAATATGACTAATGTAGAAATTTTGAAGAGAATTATTATTTCAATGGAGAAGACTTCGAATTCTTCGTCTAGAGCAGTTAGTTTCAGAAAGGAAGTTCACCAAGAGTTGATGAATCATTTCAAGCCAACTTTGGAGGAAATGGCAAGAAATGGCTCATATGAATTGATTAGTTTCTTATTCGAGTCAATTGAAAATCCAGTTAAATATGATTATATCAACGAGTTTGTTGCTAATTACATTGAGAATGTAATCCCTGAAACCACTTCTAATATTCCTCCAAAGCTTCTCAAAGGACTTGTTGAGGTTTATCTCAAATCGGATCCAAAGAATATTTCCAAGAGAGTTAAAGTCATTCTTGACAAGTATCCTCTTTCATTTCAATTATCTGTTGTACAGAGAGCACTCTTAGATAAGAGAAATATTCCAGATCCAGAACTTGTCTCCAAATTCTTACCAGATCACGTTCTCGAATTTGAAGAGTTGAACTTGTCATTGAGTAGTCAATCTCCACTTGTATGGAAACCTGAAGTATTGAGTTCTCTCCATCTCGAAACATTTGCTCCTAAACAATTGTTACAATCCTTCTCTACCTATTACAAGGATTATCTGTTTAAGGTTTGTAGAACTGGAGAAATTAGTAATTTCTACTGTTCTAGGTATTCAGAGTTTTCAGAGAGGAAACAAACTCTACTAATCCTTCCAAAGCTTCTCTATGAAAGACCAATGTTGGATGACTTGGTTCAATTCATTGATGAGAAGATTCTCTCTAACATTTCCTTGGAGAATGTGGTTCCAACCATGGGTAGAGGAAGAGGCAGAGGCAGAGGCAGAGGAGGAGGTAGAATGAGTGCACCAAGAAGTGTACCAAGACAACCTCGTGCTATTGAATTGAATGTAGAAGATGCTGCTGTTAAATCTTTGGCCAAACTTGTGAGAACTAATTCTCAACATCCACTTGAACATTTAGATTGGATTCTCGAAAATATTACCTCTGAAAATGTAATGTATTTCTACTCGGCTCTGAACAGATTATCAAAACATGAACCAGGATTCGTAAGGAAATTTATTGAAATTTTAAAAGGAAAGTTTAGTTCAGGACCAAAGGAGAATTTCACAATTTCAATTCAAAAGGTTTTCATTTGCTTTTTCAAGCAACATGCAGAATTTTCTGGTAACCATCCTCTCGTCAATGAAATTGCTGACTTTTTGTTACATCTTTGGGATTTGAAACTTCATAAGGATGTTCAAGTTGCAATTGTTCAAACAGCCAAAAAAATCATTTCCAAAGCAAAAGAATATGATCTCTATGCAAAACTTGAAAGATTGTTCAAGGATGCTGCCACTCATGAATATCAAGCCGTTGTGGAAGAGCTGGCATTGTATGTTCCAACTTTGAATGAGAAAATAGCTCAAGACTTTTTCACATTGAGTTTGCAAGCATTGCAACATAAGGATTCTGGTAATTCTCAATCAAAAGTATGGCACCGTATCTCTCAAGCAGTTCTTAGTCTTGATATGAGAGCTTTTAGTAATTCATTTGATGCAATGTCTCTTTTCAATTCCTATCTCATTGATGCCTTGCTTTTATTCGGTGCTTCTAAGGACACTTCCGTTACTGATATTGCTATTGCTACTATTACAACTCAATTATTGGAAAACACAAAGCAAGTGAGCGAACTGTTATTGGAAAAGATTGTAAAACCACTGTTCACAGATGACAAACTCAAGACACTTAATCTAGAATTTGATAGACCAATTTCTACAAGATTACAATATTTGGCAAAGCAAATTGCAACAACAATAACTGGAACTTATTCAACCATTTCAGAAGAAACCTTGAACGATATTCAACAGTTAATCTTGGATTGGATTGGATTGACTAAAACATTGGAAGAAAGAATTTCACACGCCTGCCTTGTTTCCAGTATTACAAATTGGTCAAATAAGGATTCGATTATCGAAAACAGTATCAAGAGAGTCGCTAATTTATTTGTTGACATGCCAGATTTGAAAATTGCTGGTTTGACAACTTTATGTCACAATTCCAGTCTTTTCATTCTCACAAATGAACACTCTGACAGCACCACCCAAGCTGTTTCTCATATTCTCCAAAACCATAGTCAATACTCTCAAGATGAATTAATTCTAGCAGTCGCTCTTCTTAAATTAATTCCAGTCAATCCAGATATTGAAAATCTAATGAAAATCATCAACAATCTTACACCAACCTATCCACTTCTTGCCATCACATACTTTATCAAAACTGAAAGTGATCAAGATAAAGGAAAGAATCAACGATTCCCTTTCAGAAGACATGGTTATTAAATAAACAATGTAGCGAATCAGTTTACAATGTAATTAAGTTGCGAATTGTGGCTCTTTCCAAAGAAGCAATTAAATTATTCTGGTCAATTACCTATTATGAAAAGAACCTATTTTTCAATGAATGTTTGAATCGTTTATTACTTAGTTATTAACAGTCCTACGTACAACGGAAAATGTGAAAATACCAAATTAAAATGTTTATTGGGCTCTCCCTTTATCCTATTAACCATTTGTTATTTATCCATGCTACATACGAAAATAATGGTCAGCGTAATAGATGAATTTCAACAACTTTGACATCATACCCATTCCACTTTCCTATTCACTGTTGTGTAGGAACAATCGTATACAATTCGTACAGTGGCTAGTTGGTCAAAAATGAACAAGAATCAAAACATGATGAATCTTCTCTTACCTGAATTTAAATAAATTTAACTAATGCAATTTTACAAGTTTTTGGAGATGATTTCTTGTAATTCCTCAGGTACAAATCTAAGTGCTTCTCTGTTTTGTTTTACAGCTTCCAAAGCAATTTCACTATCTAATTTCAATTCCTGAGAGGCAAAACGAATTGCTTCACCATCATTTTTCACAGCAGCCATAACTAGGTCTCTATCATTCCTGAACGTTTCAGATGCAAAAAATAGTAAATCACCTTCATGAGCAACAGCTTCCAATAGGAAATCCTTGTTATTGAGAAACTCATCAAGAAATTCGAGTGCATCACCATTTTGTTTGACCGCTGCCATTGCAATTTCTCTATCTTTTTTGAAATGATCTGCAATTTTTTGAATCATCATACCATTTTGCTTAACAGCTGTCAAAACTACTTGTCTGTCATGTTTTAATTCCTGAGCAGCAAATTCAATAGATCTTCCATCTATTGAAACAGCAACAAGAACTATTTCCATATCTTCTTGGAGTGAATAATCAGCATAGTAAAATGCTTGTCCATTTTGTTTGACAGCTGCCAAAATTAATTCTCTATCCTTTAGTAATTCCTTTGGGACATCTCCATCTGATAATACTTTCCAATTTTGTGATACTGCAGCTATGGCTATTTCTCTATCTTGTTGTAGCTCTTCTTCCAATATTGAATAAACTTTTCCATTTTGAGAAACTGCAGCTAAAACTATTTCTCTATCGTTTTTTAATTGTTGATCTACGTATTTGATTGCCTTTCCATTATTTTTCACAGCTTCCAATACTAGCTCTCTATCTTGTTTTAATTCTTCTGCAGCATGTTTGATACAAGTTCCTGCACATTTTACAATTTCCATCATGAATTCCCTGTCAGTTTTCAAATTTTTGGAAGCATAGCAAAATGATTTATGGTAATGTTCGACAGCATGCTTTACAACCTCCTTATTATTCCTTAATTTTTTAGATGCATAAAGCAATGGAGCATAATCTACAGATTCTTTAATTTTCTCCTCCTCAAGCATCATTTTGACATATGGCACATAATCCCACAAGCCAAACAACTGACCAAGGTAAACTGCATGATACGCTTCATACATGTGCACAGCTTGAAAAACATCATCCACAAAAAAGCTTCTCCACTGAACTAAATCAATACCTTTCTTTGCAATATAATTCTTTACTTCCTCCTCCTCATTCATATCTGAAATTATTTTCTCCACTTGCTTTATAATTTTCTTTTGGTTGACCTTGTGCTGAGTGAGTCTTAGTTTGGTGAGGAGAATTTTGGAGGAAATATTCACATCTAGAATAATAGTGGTTGTAATTTTGTCCTTCAATGATGATGGATTGTGTGGTGGGAGTTTTGGTTTTTTCTCTGGTGTTGTTGCTTTGATTGAATTGTGTTGTTGTCTTTTCATTATTTTTTTTGTTTTGGTGATCGAATCGGGAAAATGGAGTTATTGGCAAGAAGCTGTTCCCTGTGTGACTATTCAAAACTAATATGTTTGAATATTAATCACCAGCCCGCGTAGCAGAGTGGTCAAATGCGTAAGACTTAAGATCTTATCCCGAATGGGTTCGTGGGTTCGAACCCCACCGCTGGCATTCCTTTTTTGCTCTCATTTTTTCTCGCTTTTGTACCATTGTGGTTGACTGCTGAAGCACAACTCAAGTAATTCCAAGTACTGCTTGTTCTTTTTTCTAAAAGCTTACAGTTAGTTTTTAGCTCACTACTGTTCAAGTAACTTCCTGTAAACCATTGTAATTTTCATACATTCCATTACAATAGTGTGATCTACGTATGGCGACTCTCTTTAAAAAAATAGTGCACAGATCCTCAACACCATTTTGTGGGTATCAAACCATAAAAGACTACAAACTATAAAAAAGGCAATATCGGAGTCAATGAACCTTAATAGGAGGAATAAATTCAGAAATGCAACTCTGTTGCTTGCTTAGTTGTGTCAGAAACTTCATGGCAAGATAATAAGGAAAGAATTTGTGTTTATCTATTTCGGAACAATTGTTTAACATTACCAAATTTTACTGCATTTCGAATAAAAGATGAGAAACATCTCATGGAGCAAAGAGCCTAAAAAATAGAAATTGATATTTATACAACTGAATTCAATAATCTTCATTCAAGCGGAAGGATTATCGTTTTTTATGGTTTGGTTTTGGTTGTGAACTGATTATTAGAAAGTTGTGTGAATTTCAGTTTTTGGAAAGTGTGTTTTATCTTTCAGTTTGTTTGCATTCAATAATCAAACAATCCAAGTAATTGGATTGCATGGATGACAATTAGCCTACGATCTATTAACTAAATGCTATAGGTAGATTATATACGAAACTATTTCAATTCTCTCTCTCTTAATCCCAACCATTTAAATCTTAACAGCCCATGTCGCATTTATAGATTTAAACCAGCGCGTTTTGCTTTGTTTTGGTTTGTCAGTGAAACTGTTTCGAATAATTCAAGCATCATGTCAATTACCCTAGGGTCTCAACACGCTTATATCAACAAATACCCATAAGTATTCAACTTTAAACCCTTTCAATTTGTCCTGTTACGACGAAAGGCCTCTGGAACCAATTAGAAAAAAACCAGCTTGTGGTGTTTCTTCACTTTTTCGTCTGGTTTAGTTTACTTTAAAAAAACAAGTGAACACTACTACATGTTTAAAGTGAGACAGCAGTGAGAAAGAGTGAGAAACAGTTTAATGTTTATGCAATTCAAAGAATGAACAAACCAACTGAAAGTGTTTCGAATAATTCTAATAATTATCACTTTACTAATGAAAGTAGTAGTAGTGGAAATACTCCTTTGAATCCTCTTTCAATATCAGCCGAAATACCAAATTCGTACCATGTTGAACGGCACAAACTTTCGAATAATAATTCAACAAGTATACGAAATATAATTACTTCATCAGTTGGTGCTAATTCTAATCATCCTACCATGATTGCATCTCATAACTATTCTGCTAATGGAATTGATGAACATTCTTCCATCCTACCTTCCATACATAATACTCCTTTCCAATCCAATGAGAATGTTTACTATTCGAAACCAATCTATTCCAATTTACAATCAAATTCTCCATTTCCCTCATCTTTAGCAATAACAACGATCCATGCTAACAACAACATGCAGAAAGAAAGACTTCCATCAATTAATCATGTTGTAAATTCTTCATCATCAACTATTCGAAACTCAACATCTCCTCCAACACCATTTATCTCCTCACAAGTTTCACATTCACAACACTTTAATCAACACCTTTATGTTGAGGATCATCAGCATTCACAGTACATGATACCATCCAACCAAAATAATCAACTTTCGAATAATAATCAATTACATCCTTTTGGTGATTCCAACAAGATTTCAGTATCACCATCAGCAGGAAGTCTCGTTTCTTATCAATCACCACCACCGACACAACATGTACCATCAAACTCCATGATTAGAAACAATTCGAAACCAAATTTGCATGTCATGAACAATAGCCACAGTAATAACAATCTTTCAAATTTTGATCAAACCAATACTTCAACTACTACCTTAATTCATCATCACCATCATCAACAACAACAATCACCAATACATGCCACACCTATCATCAATACCCAACAACAGCAACAACAAACACAACAGCAGGATAATTATTATCACGATTTTTATGTACCCATTAAAAAGACCAACAAGTTAATGATGAACAACAATTTAAATAATCCAAATTCCCAAAATGCAACTCAAAGTGCATCATCATCTTCATCTGCTTCTTTAATAATGAATTCTTCTTCCAATGCTCATAATAATACAACTTCTTCAAATGGAGTGCCCCTAAAATGTTCATTGTGTGATCGTGGCATTACGAAACGATATTGGGTAAGAGATTGTAATGTGGATGTGATGAAAACATTTTCAAAGAATGAAGGTATGTTATTGTTGTGAATTTTGTGGATGGCTTACTTGTTTTTAATATTGTTTTTTTGTAATGCCGTTGTAATGTGTGAAAAAAATGAATTTTAGCACTTGTTGGAAATTCATGTTGTAAAGCATGTTATACAAAAGCAAGAAAAATTATCAAAGCTCAAAAACCACCCTCCTCAACCTCAACCTCAACCTCAACAAATATTGATAATTCATCAGTAACAACCAATATAGTAGCAGCAGCAGTAGATAATAGTAATAACATCGTGAATAATTCCTCCTCTGGTGAGAATGATTCCTCATCAAATAATGTAAATAATAATGTTTCAATTCAAACAACGACTAGTTCTGTGATGAGTGGAAATTCCACTCCAGAATCACAACAGAGTTTCAATTATCTTAATCTAGGAAGAAATTTGGAGAATTCATTGATTTCAGGTGAAGTTTTGGAAGAATTGGGTCTTGTCTTGACAAGATCAGATAGTTCAAGCTATTCATCGAGTAAGATTGGAAAAGATAAGAAAAAGTACAATCTTCAAGTGGATAGAACTGAGGAAGAGAATGAAATTGTATTCAATATCAAGTTAAAAGTTAATAAGAAATGATTTATAATTTACTTCTCTTTTCTGCTGGAGTTTTGTAACCATCACTTTCGTTACCAATGAGATAATCAGTGGCATTGATTTGCTTGATGAGTTCAATCTTTTCCTTCGAAGGGAGAAGATTGAGTGGGTGATCTTCAACGAAAATCTTGAGAATTGAAACATTTCTGTTTGAATTCTTTGACATGCAATGTTCCAAAAGGAGAACGGCAACTTGAATGTGAGCAATTGTGAAGGCCAAATCTCTTGCAAAGGTTGTCAATACAGCTTGATTCTTTTGGTTGGTTTTGAGATAGTCGACAACATCGTGAACTGCCTTGGTAATTCCCTTTGAAATGTGAGATACATTGGAAGATGAAGGTGAATTAGCAACACTAACAGCACGGTCAACCCAACTCTTCAAAGTATCTTGACCAGATTCAGGATGTAACAAAACTCTCAATACATCCAATGAGAGAATATTTGTTGTTCCTTCCCAAATACTCAAAACTTGAGCATCTCTTAATAAACGAGGCATTCCAGAGTCTTCAGTATAGCCAACACCTCCCAACATTTCCAATCCTTCACTCACAACTTGGAGAGATTTCTTACCAGTGTACAATTTAATGATTGGAATACACAATCTGAGAATTTGCCTTTCATTTTGATTGGCAATTCCACATTCCTCCTTACCAAGTATTCTGACACAATCCATAACAAAATGCAAACTACCAGTAGTTTCTGCTACCATCTTTGAGAGCCATCTCAAATGGAGAGTATTGTGTGCCAAGATTTGTCCCTTATTTACAATTCTTTTTGATGCAAAATCTTGAGCAATATTTACAGCTCTTCTCATTTTGGCAACAGCACAAATTGAGTTGTAAATTCTAGTTACATTAATCATGGTTGCAATGAATTTAACACCTTGTCCACGAGGACTGATAAGAGTGGCCTTTGCATTTTTGAGTTCAATTTCAGATGTTGGCATGGCCTTGGTTCCCAACTTGTTCTTGAATTTGTGGAACAAGAGGCCATTCCAATTTTGTCCAGTTTCATCTTTGGTCTTTAAGAGGAATAGAGAAACCTTATCATCAACTTTTCCAGTCTTTTCATCTTTGATTTTAGCAAGCAAAAGAGCCATTGCAGAGTCAGAACTACCAAACCACTTGAAACCATTGAGAAGATAATCGAAATCTTTAACTTGAGTGGCAATAGTTTCACATCCAGAAACATCAGATCCACCACTCTTTTCTGTCATCCACTGATTACTAGTCCAGAATTGTTCAGGATCTCTTGATGTTAAATGTTGTCTACACTCAATCATTAATTGTTCTCTCTTCTTTTCAGCATCAGTTAAATTAGTTTTCTTTCTTTCAGAATTGAGAACAGTTTCCAATAATTTAGAAGCTCCATCACCCATAGAAAGAGGACAAGTCTGAACAGCACAACTTGGATCATACAAATACAATTTGGCAAATTGATAAACTCTAGCAAATTGACGAAACCTGTCACGCTCGTATCCCAAAGCAATAAGTCCTTCTCTTGCACTAGTATCATACAATTCCTTCCAAGAAGAATGCATCTCAATTCTGTCAACTCTGTTATGCCAAGCATCATAATGAATTAATTTTGGTTCATTTCTCTCAGCCAAATCAGACCATTTCCAAATAGTTGATGAAACTTTATCACCAAAAGCAGTCAAATCCTTCATAATATCATCTCGGATTGTGTTATTCTTCTTATCCAGAGAAAATATGTAACGATCGAGAATTTCCAACAAGGCTTGATCTTCAAGGAATGTATTTCCCAATGTTGGTGCTTCCAATTTGAAACTCTTTTCAAGTGAGAAAGAAGACATTTTCAATAAATTAATAAATAATAATATATATACAGTTATTAATAGCAATACAAAGAGAGAAATCTTTTGAGAGATGAAGATGTGAGAGGATCCAACAAGAGAGAGATGTTTTGCTATTTTTTTTTACTATTGTAATCAAAGAGGAAGACTGGAAAAATAATGTCATTACAAAATTTGACCAAGCTTAGGTCTGGACTTGTTATTAGAAATGTTACTCCATAAATTGATGATTTCTTTAGTGATGGAGAAAAGAATTAACATGAATGGTAGATATTAGACGAAACTTTTAATGAAGATTACTTTCCAATGCTTCAAAATAAATTTCATCATATAAATCCTCAACAAAAACTCTCATATGATCAACTCTCTTCTTTGCCAATTTCTTTCCAGTTTCTGTTTTCATCATTGACTCCAAGTGGAATAATTTATCATAGAAATGTTGAATGGCAGAATCGTCAGTGGTAGAAACAGTTGGTTTTGGTGTTTCCGTAATTTTCCAATCAACCATTTCAGAAGGTGATTTGAATTGACTTGTAGGTTCATTGAGATAAATTGCTCTTCCCTTAGATCCACTAAAAACAAGACAACGAGCAACTCCAACAGCTCCAATGGCATCCAATCGATCACTATCTTGAACAACCTTCAATTCAATTGGTAATTCATTAATGTCCAATACTGTATTCTCCTTCAATCGTTTAACTTCCTTTGAGAATGAAATATTATCAACAACAAATTGAACTCTTTCAATTAATTGATTTGGAACTTCGAGTGATGATAAATGTTCTTCGATGGCTCTCTTTGGTGTCAATGCAGTATCGGATTTTTCAACATATTTATGATCGTGAACATCATGCAAATAGGCAGCCAATTCAATAACTTGTAATTTATCTTCATCAATTACATTTTCACATTTAGCAATGTGTTTGGCTAAATTGACAACTCTTTCCACATGATTAAAATCATGAGATGCATCATACTTGGACATGATTGATGCAACCATTTCACGGGTTTTGACAATAATACGAGTCCAATTCATTTTCTTCTTCTTTTTGAATAGATATAATTTGCTTGAGGATCTACAACACAGTGTTGAGAGATTTGTTTGATTTTTTTTTTGAGATTTTCAATAATTATGAATTGGCCATTTATAGGGCAAAGAACTTCGACGGTGAGATGGAAGCTGCAACAATTTTTTGATTTTTAGTTCGTTACGAGTCGTGGATTGCCTTTGCTATTAATACGCACGCATCCTTTAGATTAGGTTACATGTTTTATTGTATGAATAATACTTTTAATACATTTAATTATTTAATATTCCGAATAAATTCAATTAAATTCAAATTAAATATTAAAGGAAATATTTAAATAATAATTTTTTAATTTTTATGTGAGTTTAAATCCTATTGTTGTTGTTGGAAATAACCAATTGATACGAGTGTTTAAATTGTGAGAGAGAGGGAATGATGATGTAAGAATGGAAAACTAGAGACTTGTTCGTGTGAAAAGCAAAAAGGGGAGTGTAGCATGATATATTCATATAGCAGTAGCATGGTTACTAATTTACTTTTCCTTTGGTGTTTCTTCTGTTTGTTCGGAAACTTCTTCTTCTTCGATTATTTCTTCTCCTTCTTCTTGTTCACCTTCTTCGTCTTCGGAAGCTCTGACCAGAGACTTATCTTGTTCCTTTTGCTTTAACAATAATCTCTTCTTTTCTTGAATGGCAATCTTCATTTCTGGTGATAAACTATCATTCAATTCCTTCAAATTAGATTCAGTAGCATAGATAGCAATTTTGTTTGGATACAGGAAATTTCTCATATATCCAGCCTTTACTTTAACTACTTCTCCTTCCACTAAAAATTTAAAATCCTTTTTAATAATAACATCGGTATTAGCAACACTTCTCACGAATCGTACTTGTTGTGATTCAACAGCAACAAGGGAAGCAACAACATTGTTCTTTCTAAATGATGATGGCACTGTGGCAATTGAGAAAAGTCTCTTCATTTTTTATTTCATTAAAAAAACAAAAATTCTCAAAGCCTTGGTTCCTTTCTTTCGTTTCTTAAGAAAATAAATATAAAGTCATTTCGGAAGGCTTTAAAGATTACATATTAATATTAAATAATTATTAAATAGAAGAAGGAGGAGAAATTAGAGGAATTTTTGAAAGGATGGAAAATTCTCAACAACAATTTAAAATTGATGTTTTTATTAGTATTAAATCATCATCGAGTCAATATATTAAGAATCATCCACTCTTGTTGAGTTATATATTAATACAATTGGTAGAACAATCAGAGAAAAAGACACTTGTCTTTACAAATTTCAATCATGTTTTGAAAACTAGTATTTCTCTTCAACAAGAAAGTGTACCAATTGAATTATCATTCCGAAGTTTAATTGATAATATTCCAGTATCATCATTTGATTATTTATTCCCGTATACATTGACTCTGGATTCGCCATTGATATATCACTTCAAAGTTTTGGATGAACACAATGAAGGAAATAATGAATCAACAAATTCGTCATCATCACAAAAGAGAAAGAAATTCTCATGTGGAGGTCTTCAAAAAGAATATGAACAATTGAAGAAAACATTGAAACAAATGATTGATTTACGAGAGAATAATGTCAGTGCTGGTGTATTGATACATGGTTTGTCTGGTGTAGGAAAATCACTTCTAGTTAATACAGTTTTACAAGATTTATTCCAAGAATCGTGTCAACAATCGAATAGTGAAGAAGAAGAACCAAGCATTTTCACAATACACGCATCAATGTTTTCTAGTAAGGTCTATGGTCAAAACGAAGCCAAAATGAAACAATTCTTCCAAAACCCAAACGAAGAAGGGCATTCTCAATTAATTTATTCATACAAATTTATTATACTGGAAGATTTGGAGCAATTAGCTCCATCCAATCAAGTTATACAGGAGAGTTCACTAATGTCAAAGGGTGGTAAAAGATTGGTGAGCACTTTACTTCATTGCTTGGATGATTGTCCAAAAAAGAGAATAATTGTAATAGGCATTACAAACCAATTCTCAAAGATTGATTCATCCATAAAGAGGTCAGGAAGATTGGATCAAACAGTTATCGAGTGTCCAATTCCAGGAGAAGCAGAGAGACTCAGCATTTTAAAATGTATTTTTGAACAATGTAGTTTGGTAGCTGATGAAAAAGTTGTAAATAAGGTTGCTGCTGTCACACATGGTTTTGTTGGATCGGATCTGAAATCGTTATGTAATGAGGCTATTCTCCAATATTTCATGAAAACAGAGCCAGTAGCTCTCGAAGAAGAACAATCAATGATATCTTTAGATTATGAATTTTTCGAGAATGCTCTTGTTCATGTGAGGCCAAGTGCTATCAGACACATCCTTGTTGAAGTACCAAAAGTTTACTGGGATGATATTGGAGGTCAGGACAATGTCAAACAAGCTCTCAAAGAATCGATCGAATGGCCTTTCAAACACTCTGAGCACTTTAAACGAATGAAAATAAGAGCACCAAGAGGTGTGCTTCTTTATGGACCTCCAGGTTGTTCAAAAACGCTGATGGCTAAAGCTTTAGCTACTGAGGCTAAATTGAACTTTTTGGCTGTGAGAGGTCCTGAGCTGTTCAGCAAATGGGTTGGTGAAAGTGAAAGAGCAGTCCAACAAATTTTCTCAAAGGCAAGACAAGCTGCTCCAAGCATTATCTTCTTTGATGAGATTGATGGCTTGGGAGTGGAAAGAGGAAGTGGAGGTAACTCTGTTGGTGATAGAGTTCTGTCACAATTACTCCAAGAATTGGATGGTATTGATCCTTTACAAGGAGTAACGGTAATTGCTGCTACAAATAGACCTGATTTATTGGATAAGGCTCTGCTTAGACCTGGCAGAATTGATAGAATGCTCTACGTATCACCACCAGATGAAGCTGCAAGAAGAGAAATTGTGAAAATCCAATTGAAGAAAATGGCAAATATTGTCTCACCAGAGGAAGTGGAAAAGATTGTTCAATCGACAACTAATTACAGTGGTGCTGAAATGACAGCTCTCTGCAGAGAAGCAGCTTACATTGCACTCCAAGAAGATATCCACGCTCAACATGTAGAGTTCAGGCATTTTGAGGAAGCTGTCAAATCAGTTCTTCCAAGAATTACTAAGGATATGCTTGAATTTTACAAGGAGTTTGCCAATAAAAACAGAGCAGATTAATATCCAAAATTGTTTTTTAATAGCTTTGTGGATTCCATTTTGATTTTCCAGAAATAATATCTTCAACATTGTGAGCAAATTCATGAGGAACTTCACCATATTGAATTGACAAAATTCTGTCCCATAATTTCATAGCCAATGATTCTTCTTTTGGAGGCACTGGAATTGGATATTCCTTTCCTTGATAACTGATAGCATTGATTGGAGCAACAACACAAGCAGTACCAGCTCCGAAAGATTCAAGAATTCGTCCATTTTCGACATCCTTGATAAAATCTTCCATAGTATAAGTAACTTCTCTAGCAGGTTGTTTGAATTCATTCTTAACAATATGAAGGACAGATGAACGTGTGACACCTGGTAAAATGACTTCTCCCAATGGTGGTGTAATCAATTCCTTTTCACCATTATCTGCAATTCTATAGAAGAAAATGTTCATTGTACCAACTTCAGTAATTTGATGGTCAGCTCCGAAAAGCCAGAGTACTTGACTGTATCCCTTTTCAATGGCTTCTAATTGTGGCATGATTGTAGGACCATAATTAGCACCAACTTTAGCATTACCAGTACCACCTGGGAAAGCTCTCACATATTTTGGATCAGCAAGTAATTTGACTGGAGCAAAACCAGACTTGAAATATGGACCAACTGGAGAACAAATCACAAATAATTTAGCATTATTTGGTGGCAAGACTCCCAAAGTACGTTCAGTACTAATCACTGTTGGACGAATGTAGAGAGAGTAACCCTTCTTAGCTGGAACCCAATCCTTTTCAACCTTGACCAACTCAGCCATGCATTTTATGAATTCTTCTCCTTGGAAATTCTTCATAAATATATTCCGAAAGTGTTTTTATCATTTGTATCATTGTATTGTTTTTGGAGGTTGGGTAGTGTCAAGTAATTATCATCAGCACAATGATATTAAAATTAAATTAGAAAAATTGTTAGATTATTTGAAAATTCCGAAATTAAAACATACTGGTAAACCCAATCTTGCACAAGATCTATTGAGTCTGTTTGAATTCATTTCTGGTCTGAACAAAAAGACGTCTTCTCCATTCTTGTAAGCCTTCAAACCTTCAAAGCATTGAATAGCATAGTGCAGAGATGAACAAGATGGTGGAAGAGTTAAATCATGATATGGAACAATCTTTGGATTACTCCAACCCTTTTCTGAATTCCAATCAACTTCAAGCATATGATCTGTAAATTGTTTACCAAAGACAAGACCTTCCCAGGCAGGTTTTGTAAGTGGATTTGTTGTTTTTTCAATAGTCAATGATGTATGAAGAAAATCACCATATGGACCCTTTCTAATCGAACATTTATCGTCCTTCAATTCATCAACTTGTGTCTTATGGAATGACCTAGAACAGTTGAACAAAATTCGTTGTTGGTTAACTCTATTACAAGTGGAAGTAATCGATTTTTTGAGCATCTTTTGTGTTATTGTTTGTATTCTCTCTTTTTCAAAAACGTGGATGTTTACCCGACAATGCAGAGAAAATCTTTCGAGTCTGGAGTTGTTTTTTTAATGTTGGTTTTGGTGTTTGCGCACTCAAAGCATAACAATTAATTGGCCAGAATACTAACAAAGAGTTGTGGCCTCATCACCATAAACAACATGTCGAGTTTAGGAGTCTTATTTGTGCATTGGTGATGATGGTATTATAATTGTAATATTGTGTTGAGTTAATATTTGGACACGGTTTTAATTATTGTTATTGGCGATTAGGTTTGTTGTGTGGCTTCAACGACAAGAATGAGCACCAAAGTGACTGGACTAGAGTTTACAAAAAGTTCTTGAAGAATCTCCATTTCTATTGGCGGGAATTTTGCTCCGGTTACGAACCAAGCAACGGAACAAACATGTGCTAGACTACGGTTTTTTTAAAAGATTTTCTTAAACAATCCAGCTATTAATAAGAAGATTTTTATTAACAGGTTGCTTCGCCAAGTTGATATTTGTGGTTCCACATGTTTTAATACAGAGCTAGAGAAAATGCAATAATTTAAGTTTTAATAATAAATATATAAATAATTAATAAGTTCCTTGATACATTTCATCAATATATGTTCTGTACTTTTGAACAATATTGTTACGTTTAAGCTTGAAAGCAGCTGTTAAGAGATCGTTTTCAGGTGACCAAACATCATCAAAGACACGAATGGCCTTAATTTCTTCATATCTCTTAAGCTTGTAGGTCTTAGCCAATTCTTCCAATGATTTCAAGATGTGTTGTTGGACCTTTGGATGTTTACAAATTTCAGAGAAGGTACCAGTAATGCCATTTTCTTCAGCAAATCTCTTGGTTGGACCTGGTTGAGCGATGACAATGGCAACAGGGAATGAACCGAAGCTGTCTCCATAGACCATGATACCATTTGGTGCAACGTATGGACAACCGTTATAGATACTCTCCAATCTTTCCAAAGCAATATATTCACCATGGGATAACTTGACTAAATTCTTAACACGATCAATAATTGAAATTGTACCATCCTCATTCCTAAAAAGTTGAATTGTTGAAAAGTAAAAGGTCAAATTAGTATTCAAAAAGAAATGTAAACCTACAATTGACCAACATCTCCTGTCAAGAAGTATCCATCTTCCATGAATGCTTCCTTTGTCTTTTCAGGTTGCTTATAGTAACCTAGGGCGACAGAGTTACCTCTGATGGCAATCTCTCCTCTTGGTACTGGGCTATCTGCCAAATAATTCAAGTGTGGAACTGAGATTAATTTGATTTCAACACATGGAACAACAACACCAGCAACATTGGTTTGGAATTTAGCTTCTGGCATTAAAATGACCTAAAGAAATGTTAAATCTTCTCTCCACGATAAATCTTCTACTTACACCTGCAGCACTAGTCTCAGTAAGACCATATCCTTGGAAGGTACTGGCTCCAAAGCAAACTCTGAAGAATTCTTGACTTTGTTTTGAAAGTGGAGCACCTCCAGAAAGGCATCCTACCAATCTTCCACCAGCCATACTCTTAATCTTTCTGAAAATCAAAAAGTTGAACAATGGTGTATCTCTTCCATTCTTAAGAGCATTAAGTTTACAATCATAAGCAGTCTTGAAAAGCCATTGAATGATTGGTGAACCTGCCTTAATCTTTTCAGAAACACCCTTCTTAATGGTGTCGTATCTGTATGAAAGATATAATAATAAGGACATTAGTCGCATATAAAATCATTTCGCACAAACAATCGCAGATTTAAATTAACCAAAAAAAAGCTTGAAAACTTACACTCTTGGTACACCACAAAATATTCTTCCGTAATAAATTGAAAAAAATGTACGAAAGATAGTTAAGCACAAATTGACAATATCAGCCACTACTTACTGAGGTGCTACAGCTTCAAGATCACCAACAGGTCTGGCAGTCTAATTATTTGAAGTGAATTATGAAACATTGAAATGTTAATAATTATCAAAAAACACTACTTGCCTTAGTTGTAAGAGTTTTGGAGTTTCCGTATCCGATTTTTCCTGTTTTATGAATGTTGTGAAGTAAACGTGATTTGGTGTGGAATTTGGTAAATAATGATATTGTTGTAACATTTTACATTCTTTTGAATACTACTACTTACCTCCAAGACCCAAGATGTAATGTTCAGCAGCCATTTCCAAAATGTGAGAAAGTGGAAGATATCCCAAATAAGTCTAGTATTACTGTAATGAGCAATCAATTTTAAAATGAGATACTTACTCTATTGTCACATTATTAATAATGGTGAAAAACTGAAATACTTACGGATTCTTGACGTGTGGCAAACCAAATTGCTCACGTGCACCCACGGAAATCGAAAGTATATTTTTTGCTGTTAGCATTACACCTTTTGGCTAATGATTAGAATACAAATAGATTAGATCTGTAAATAATAATTCATAATTACCTTTGAAGTAGTTCCGGAAGTGTACATGACAACAGTCAAACTATCACCTCTTTGTTCTTCCTTAACTGGAATTGGATTTGTTTCTTGTTTTCCTAATTCTTCAACTTCTTCAAAGGACAAAACAGAAACACCATTCTTTTCCAATTCAGCAATATGCTTTTGAGTTTCTTCCTTCTTACCTTCCCAAGATGATGCATAGATGAGGTACTTTAAAGTTGGAGTATTTGGAGTAATTTGATAGGCAAGCTTTTTCAATGATGCTTCATTAACTAACATGGCTGGAAGTTCACATTCATTAACAGCCTCAATGAGTGATTCATCACCCAAAGTAGAGTAAACTGTCATTACAGTAATGTTGTATCTCATGCAAGCGTGGAGAGTCATTAACCATTCCTTACGAGTTTCTTCAAAGATACCAAAAAAGTCCTTAGAGTTCAAGCCAGTGAAACGTGCAATACCACGTGAAAGATTAATAATTCTACTATAGATTTGATTGTAGGTTTCATACTTGACATCGTCAAAGTGGAAAACTTCCCAGTCCTTACCATCAAGCTTTTCAACAGACTTATTCTTGAAAGTACGACTACCAAGCATTGGCAAATCACCAAATTGTTTAACAACATGATCCAACAGTCCGTTGAGTGTAGTTACACCAGGAACTGGAGTGCTAATTAATTCCTTTTCATAGCCAACTCTTCTGATTGGCTTTGTTTCTTCACCAGGTTTATAGTTTGGATCATCGACTTGAACAGTATAGGATTTCAAGTGATCAAATCTTCCTCTCAAGTCAGCAGGTAAGAAATCCTTACCAAACAAGATTCTAAAGATGATGTAGCAGAAGCGATCCACCAAAGACAAGATGAAGGCGATAATTTTCAACAGAAGTGATTTTATCATTTTTTTTTGAAAGTTCATTTACTCAATTTTCCTGTTACCCCTATGTGAAAGCAAACAAGATTTGAAAGAGAGACAAGATTTGTCAAGTCATTGTAAAGCCTCGTCCAATGATCCTCGCCATTGATTATCCAATAAATTAGCAGCAAAGGAAAAACCTTTTTGAAAACAGATAATCCCATGTCCAGCATGGTTCAAAAATGGTGGTACTGGAAAGATGAAAAATGCATTGGTTCAATGATTACAAACGTATTATTGAAACATCTTCATGGTTGAGAGGTTCCATCCGCAATCTTCTCTAAAACCAAATTAAGATTGGACAGGCATTTCACCAACTACAGTTTTCCCTCGATCACCAAGTTTATTAAACGACCTTAGATTCTGTCTTGATAGTGATTGATTTCTTTTAATGAATAGATCATGAAAAATGGTTTTTCACGATTACAAATTGATTCCCACAAAAGAAAATATCATGATGCATTTAAATAATGTACAACCCAACAATCACTACAGCATTTGAAATCCTATCACTTGTTACAACTTTCAACTCTTATTGAGAAAAGTGACAAACATTCCGATTTGGCAATATTGAATGAACACAACATTGCAAGTGATAAATTATTCAGATAGCCTTTTTTTCATCAAGGCTTGTTAAAAAGAGGCAATCTTTCATTGACTGATTAGGACAACTCAGAGTTGAATAATCTCGAATCAAAAAAACAACACAACACACAACATAAGATGAAAGAGAAAGGGAGAAGTGATGATCAGTCTATTGAATCGGAATCAAGCCTTACTTTGAGTGATCGTTTTCATCCCTACAAGAAGAAACAACAGATGACCACCTCTCCTCCTATTCCTTCAAGGCAACTGAACACAAGTAACAATAGGAGAGTGGAACGATCTCTGATGAATACTCAGAGGATATTTGCATCAACAAGTGATGAGTCAACAGCCTCTTCTTCTCTTCATTTGGAGAATTTCAAAAAGGCTATTCACACCACCTACTCTTCATCATCGAGTCAAGAAGAAGTTGTAGAAGCAAAGAATAGATGTATCGAGTTAGACATTTCAAAGGATATCAACCTAGTTAGAGAAGAGGATTTTGAATTTTTGGATAATATTGATTTTTCAGATTGTTTAGAATTAGAAATATTCGATTTTGACCAAAGCAGCTTTAGTATCAACAAGGCTACATCATTGGATGGTGTAAGCACGAGTTGTCAATCTTCACCAGATATCTTTCTAAAGCCTCGATGTAAAGAACCATCAATTGAGTGGGATAATCATGATGATGATGACTTGTTTCAAATCATCACACCAACTAGTACTAGTCCTTCCAATAGGGAAATAAGCACATTAGAACTCTTACTTGAAACACCTTTGGAAAATCTATTGTATCATAATATAGATAATAACGAATGAAAATAAAGCAATTCTCTTCAATTAAATATTTTAAATAATATATTAATTCAAATTATTTTAGAAATTAAAATTGAAAATAATTCAATCAAAAAAAATGGTCACAAAAAGAGATATCCTCTCCCTCTACCGAAGGATTTTAAAAACCGGAAATGAAACAATCAGATTTACCAACAAGGAATACTTCAAAAGAAGAGTAAGAGAAGAATTTGAAATGGCTGAAGAAATTGTCGGAGATAAGAAACAAAGAGATTTAATTAGAGACAAAATGTATGGCAAAGGAGTTGAATTTTTGGAAAAGAAAATTGGTGGAATTATTTAAATTATATTTGTGATGATGAGAAAATGGTTAAAACATGTTTTACAAGTGTTTTAGATTTTTACTTTCTCTTTTTTGAAGATCTTTGAGAGTTATCTGAAGAATCGGAACTTCTCTTCTTGTCTTGTTTCGTTTTCAATAAACCTTTGGTTGGTGAAAATGTTAAATCGACTGGTAAACTTGGAACAATATCCTTCTTATTGAAAGTTTTAACTTGATTCTTTTCGAGGTCAATTATAACCTTCTTCTTTTCTTGTTTTTCTTCAGAAGAGGTAGCAGTACTTGTGATTGGCTTCTTGTCCTTGAGCAGCTTTTTCACGGATTTCACCTTACTTAACAATTGATTACGTTTCTTTTCTTCAGCAGCAGCTTCTTCTCTTTCCTTTTGTTCCTTTTCTAATTGAACTTTCTTTTCTTGTTCCAATCTTTCTTGTTCTAATTTTTCTTGCTTTTTCTTTTCCTCTTCTTCCTTCTTCTTTTGTTCGGTTGCCTTACTATTATCCTTCTTTTGTTTCTTTTCTTGTGGCGTTGTTTCTACTTTCTTTTCAGTTTGTTTCTTTTCAGGTTGTTGCTTCTTTTCTTGTGGTTTCTTATTTTCATTAACTTGTTGAGCTTTCTTTTCTTGTTGTTTCTTCTTCCTTTCAATCTTAGCTTGTTCTTTTTGAGATACAGTAGTTTCAACTTCTTCCAATTCAGAATATAAATCATCGAGAGTAATAATTCTAGTCTTGAATTTTTCATAGTATTCAACACAGACATCCGAGTTTTCATATCCAGTCTTGTATTTTTCGAATTCCTTGACAATACGTTCGATATTGACAGGTAAAGGTCTATCTTTAACAATTTGTCTGACATTACCAAATTCATCAAGTGGTAAATCTTCATCATCATCTTCATCATCTTCCATAGCATCTCCATTTTCTTCGGTTTCTTCCTCCTCTTCCTCTTCTTCAGGTTTACTTTCACCTTCAACTGATTGATATTGAGCAAGTAAATCGAACATTTCTTCCTTGTATGTCTTTTTGATACTGTTATTTTCTGTAGAGGCAAAATCTTTGATGAAGAATTGGACGAATTTCATCAATGCATCTTCATTGAGATGATAGTCAGAATCATTTTCAACTTGAGGACCACCATATTGAACCAATTCCAAGAAGAATAATTCTGCAATGTGAATTTGCAAAGATGCTAATAATTTACGTTCCTCATTATTGAAAATACCATCTTCTAAAATGAATTCAATAAATTCCTCAACTGCTTCTAGTTTGTATTGAGCTGTCTTGTTCAAAAACACGAATGCTTGTTGCATTACTTTTCTCACTAACATTAAATATTTGTCCATTCTGTGTTTGTCAAGTCTTGGCCATGTTTCAAAGAGTTCATCAAAGAAAGCTCTCAAAAAGGCAATAGGTAATTCGTGTGGAGATGATTCGCCTCCCTTCACGTGGTGAATACATTCTGCCAAGAGTTGAGCCATTTCGTGTTGTTTAAATTCACCATCACACAGCCAAAATCCGTACAATGCACCTTTCCACAATTTTCTAAAATCAATAAAATTAGTATCAAGATCCAACTTGTTGAATTTAGTTTCCTTCAAAAATGTTGGGAATCTTTCGGCAGCTCTTGTTCTAAAACCTTCATCGGTAGCAGCAAGATCCTTGGTGAGTTTTACTACATTTTCTCTATGGATTTTTAATTGTTCCTCTGTGAATGTATTTTCCTCAACTTTGGATTCCGATTTGCTTATCTTCTTTTGTTTGTTGTTACCATTAGTGTTATTATTGGCTTGTTTATTGTTGTTGTTATTAGCTTTTGACTTTTTACCCATTTTTTATGCTCGAACATCATCAACAAATTATTGCAATAATTTTACTTCCTCATTTTTATCAAATTACTTCATCACAATAATTCTGTATCGGAATTTGTGTACTTCAACATTCACCAAAGGAAATTAGTTGAGTCTATTTGTTATTTCAATGAAACAAAATAGTAATAATAAATACATTTGTTTTCTTGTGATTGGTAGAAGCTATTAATATCAACCAATTAAATGTTAAAGAATTCTATTCCAAAGAACACCGCATTCAATAAGAGCTGGCAATTTGCTTGAGCGGCAAACTTTGAAAATTAGCGCCAAAAAAATTGCAAAAAAAAAATAACACAACAAATAACTTTATAACCCACGAGTAAAAAGATGAACATTCAGGATTTCAGAAACTTGATGGATGTGCTCTCGTCCAACGATAATCAAGTTCGTCAAAACGCTGAAACCCATCTTGCCAATCTTAAGAATAATGACTTGGTATGTTTTTCATTTAATTGTTTTTATTAATCATTTTAACGTATTTTATTCTCCTCATCACCAACAATAATTTTTCTAGCCTAAATTTATGATTCTGTTAGTAACAGAACTTGCTGATGAAGCTAGACCAAACCATCTCAGACAATTGGCCGGTCTCCAACTTAAGAACCTTTTAGAATCCAAAGACTCACAAACAAAACATGCTTTAGAACAACAATGGTCCAGACAAGACGAAGAAACCAAAAATCAAATTAGAAATCAAGTTTTAGTAACACTCCACTCCACATCACAAGAAGCTAGAAAGACTGCTGCTCAAGTCCTCGCCGAATTTGCTTCTGTAGACTTGGTGCACAATCAATGGCTGAATGTTATTGAAACTGTCCTTAAAAACATTACCGAACCTTCTACACCTTTTGGTATTCAATCTAGCTTGATGGCCATTGGTTATCTGTGTGATATGTGTAGAGCCCCAGTTTTAAAGCACCAAACAAACCAAATTCTTACAGCTGTTATTCAAGGTATGAGAGAATCAGCAAACAACGATATCAAATTTGCTGCCACACAAGCCTTGTTGAATTGTCTTGTTTTTGTTGAAGAAAACTTTTCAAGAGATGTAAGTATTATTATTATTTGAATCTTATTAATTCTAACTTTATATAGTCTGAAAGAGATTATATTATGCAAACCGTATGTGCATCAACCCAACTTCCAGACCCAAGAATTAGAGAAGTCGCTTTTGAATGTTTAGTTAAAATCGGATATTTGTACTATGATAAATTGTCACCATACATGGAAGCCATTTTTGGTGTAAGTAGTAATACTATTTTAACAAATTGATATTAATTTATTAAAATATAGATCACAACCAAGGCTTTAACTGACCCTAATGAACAACAAGAAGTCCAATTACAAGCTATTGAATTCTGGACATCATTGGCTGAAACTGAAGCAATTATTCGTGAAGAAATTGATACTGCAATGGAAAATGATACCGAACCAATTAGACAAAGTTTCAATATTATTCTCCAAGCTCTTGCACCATTAGTTGAACTTATGACTAAATGTCTTACAAGACAAGAAGAATATCAAGAAGATGGTGATATGTGTGTCAGTAATTATGCTTCAAATTGTATTGCTGCTATGGCCACTGTTGCTCAAGAAACAATTGTTGACCAAATTATGCCATTCGTTTCATCAAATATTAATAATCCAGATTGGCACTTTAAGGAAGCTGCTACTTTGGCATTTTCTGCAATTTTGGATGGTCCAAGAAGAGGTGAAAGAATGAATGAACTTATCAACTCTGCCCTTCCATTCATTATGAGTCATGTTAATGATGCAAACACTCTTGTCAAAGATACTTCAGTTTTTGCTCTTGGTAGAATTGCTGAATTCCATCCAGATCCATTGGTTGAAAATCATTTGGAAAATGTCCTCAAGACTCTTACAATTGCCTTCCAAGATGAAGCTCGTATTTGTAGTAAGGCTTGTTGGACTATTTTGCACATTGCAGAAGCTTTCTCAACTGATGATGATAGAGCTTCTTATCCACTTTCACAATACTTTAAGATTTTGGCTGAAATGCTCTTACAAGCTACTCTTAGACAAGATGCTTCTGAAAGCAATTTGAGAATCAATGCTTATGAAGCTTTATCTGCTCTTGTTCACAGTGCTGCTAGAGATACCTATGAAATTTTGTCACACATTGTTGTTGAATTGTTGAATAGACTTGAACAAACTCTTAACCACAGCCAAACTGAAGAAATCTGCTTGATTCAAGGTTTGATGTGTGGTGCTCTTCAAGTTTCTGCTAGAAAGCTCGAATTTAGAATTGTTCCAACTGCTGATAGAATCATGACCTTCTTGTTGAGAATCTTTGAATCTAAAAGCGCTAATGTTCATGAAGAAGCCTTCCTTGCTGTTGGTGCTGTCGCTGCTGCCCTTTCTAATGAATTCGACAGATATATGCCTCACTTTTTACCATTCTTATTGACTGGTTTGCAAACATTCCAATACGAACAAATCTGTCTTATCTGTGTCAACGTTATTGGTGATTTATGTATTGCTTTGAGAGACAAGCTTGCTTCTTATACTGATGCAATCATGGAAGTTCTTTTGAAGAATTTGCAAAACTCTGAATTGCAAAGAGATGTCAAACCAAACATTATTGCCTCTTTTGGTGATATTGCTCTTGCCATTGGTGTCAGATTTGAAAAATACATGAATTATGTTGGTACTGTTTTGAGACAAGCTTGTGAAGCTCATGTTGATGCCACCAACGATGAAATGATTGATTATCTTAATCTTTTGAGAGAAAATATTTTCGAAGCCTATGTTGGTATTTTACTTGGCTTCAAGAAGGAAAATCCACAACTCTTTATTCCATATGTTGAATCAGTGTTAACCTTTGTCAAGATTGTCTATGAAGATCAAAATACTGACCAACCTGTTTTCAATGCTGCTGTTTCTATCGTTAGTGACTTGGCTAATGTTTACGGTGTTGCCATCAAAGGTCCTATGCAACAAGAATTTATTAGAAATCTTGTCGAAGATGCAGTCAATTCAGCTGAATCAGAGACAAGAAAGATTGGTAATAAGGCTAAGAAGAACTTGAAGAAGATTACTCTCCTCTAAACTAGTCCATAACAGTGTTTCCACTCCACCCAAATAAGGAGGCACAACAACCTCCAAACCACTCCACCACACTTAACACAAACACATCCACAATCAAAATGGCATACTCAATTCGGTCAGATGATGCCTCTAATCCCCCCTCGCCTTTGAATAATTTATAAGTTATACCACCATCCATGTCCCAATCCATTCCATCCACTAAACTATCACCACCAAATAATAGTCAAATTATTAAAATAATAACTTGACAGAGCACTCAAATAAACACCACATCCACACATTAAATCATACATCAAAACCATACTATTTACACAATTATAATTTATTGACCACACAGTCAATCAATTGAGCCATAACAAGTCTCCCTACTTTGGGCTCTTTCAGTCTTGACAGAAACTCCTTGGAAAATGCAATACACAATACTAGAGGTTTTTCCAAAACTTGTGTTGGCATTGGAGGTTCCATCATTCCAAATGCTGGTTTGACTGGTTTTGGTTGATACAAATCTTCAATTAATTTTCTAGCAAATATTGTTTCAATATCAAGGTAAGTCTCTCCCATTGGATGATCCAAAGAAGGAGCTCTTTTTCCAAATAATGTTCTAATTGAATAGGTAGGTTCAGGTATGTGATCATAATCATCCAGTGGCTCTTCCATAGTGTTGGAAATTGTCATTGTTAGTGCTGATGCATCCTTTTCAGCTTTAATTACAGTTCCGATCAAGGAATCTAATTGCGAAATTAAAAATACAATTTTATCAGCAAAGACCATTCTTACTACTTCTGTTTTATAGTTAGAATCAATACTAAAAGCCTTGTTGATCACATGAATCGGAAATAATCTTTGATCTTGTGCTGATGATATTTCGTGAAGATAATCTGTTGACATTTTTTCAAAATAATATTTAATTTCAAAAAAATGATTAAAAGTAAAAGTTTAATTTCTAGTGTTCGGAACTTTAACCATCAATTTAGAGTGAAGGGATTAATTAATTCATGTTTGAAAATTAATGCAAATTTTAATAGTCAACACGAATCAACCTTCCGATTTTTTTCTTCATCATCAATGAATAGAAATCGAAATGATGATTTTCTTTACATATTGAAAATTAGAGGACAAGAACAACCAAATAATTGTGATTCTTTGAGAAAGTTTCCAACTCTTTATTTGGTGGTTGCCCTTTTGGTAGCTGGCTATTCCTATTCAATTATTTCATCCCTTCTTTCGTGTAAGTAAATCACCCATATTCTCTGAAAATTCACACAACAAATAAGCTGATATGGTTTTGGATAAGATGATTCAGGAAGAGAATGGAGAAATTAATTTACAAAAGGCCTCTATCATGCCACTCAGTTGTAAGTTATTACTTGTAATATTTTGTAATCATTTAATGGAATTTTATAGTATTTGCCCTGTTGAAAATTAAAGAAAAGTATATGGGCAATATTGAGAAAGATCTCGAGTCAAACGATGCAATTAAGAGAAGGAATGCCATTCAAATGATTTATCAAATGTGTTTGGATAGATCATTGGCTAAATCAATAATTTTGGAAACTAATTGTCTTGAACGTTTGGTAAATCTGGTACCATACGATAAACAATCAAACGTATCAAGAGATGAGAGTGACCTAATTATTGGAGTTTTGAAAATGATGAGCTCTATTGAAAATACTCACGAATTCTTATTGGATAATCTTAGTAAATGGGTTAAACCATATAGAATACGAAAGGAGTTGCACTCTATAGAGGCATTGGATAATAATTATATTACAATTATATACAATATTCTATCTACACAAAAATCCAGACAATTATTAACTGACGAAAGGATTGAGAAACTAATTCAATTGACATTTGAAATATCCAAGGCAAGCACAGATAAGAGAGTGATAAACTTGGCAAATTATTCCACTGAAATGCTTGTTAGACAATCTAAGGGAGAACCAGATGATGGTCAAGCAGATTCACTCATGAAAGATTATACTGAAAAGTATGAAATTTTCAAATTCCTTTCAAACAACATCTCACTTCCATTGCTAGCCTTTGGTTATGCCTTTTTGAGATATAAATGGAGAATTAATAGACAAGGATACAATCATTTTGGATTCAAGGCTCAAAATCTCAATACACTGTCAATTTACAACTCGTTGAAGAGTGCAGTGGTTGTAAGTGCAATGGCATGGTCTGTAACTTCTTTGGATTTTTTCGAGTATAGACAGGGGTTGAAAGATCACTCTAATTGCTCAACCAATGAGGAGCTATTTAACAGACTCAAGACTAGGGCATATAGACAGGAAGTTGAAAAGGTAGCTCAAAACTTCTTGTTCCCATTATTCTTGGCATGGGTTTTGGGTAGAGTGGAATTTATCATACTACCATACATTTTACTTCAGGCAAGCAGTTCATCTAAACCAAGTAGTTTATTAGAAAATTTAATAGATCTTCCCCCTCAGTATGTAGAATCTCAATTGAATTATATTCAAACAAGCATTGAGACTGAAAAGAAATAAACCCTTTACCATTCATCATCTGAATCAGTATCAGAATCCTCTTCGTCATGGATACCAGTGTTAGAGAACTTTTTCATGAGATATGACTTGAAACCTTCCTTTTCATTTTCTGTAAAATCAGTTACAGGTGGAGGTGTTGGATTCTTCAAATTGTCCTTAGAGAAAGTCTTGATTTCAGAAAGGAAGTCAGCAGGCTTTGATGGAAGAGGTGGCTTTGAGACTGGAGGGGAGGTTGGAGTGGCCTTTGGTTTGACCTCAACCTTAATTGGACCTCCTCCCATTGGTGGTGGTGGTGGAATAGCTCCAACAGGAGGTGGTGGTGGAATAGATCCTCCCATTGGGGGTGGTGGTGGTACAGCAAAACTTCCTCCTCCCATAGGTGGTGGTGGTGGTGGAATAGATCCCATTGAAACTGGTGGTGGAGGTGGAATACTACCTGCTCCTCCATCATAGTCATCTGAAACATATGAAGTCATTGGTGGAGGTGGTGGAACTGATCCTCCCATTGGTGGAGGTGGAGGAACAGATCCCATAGATACAGGCATAGGTGGAGGTGGAGGAACACCACTGGATGGTGAAGAAACTCCAAAAGGTGGTGGAGGAGGTGGAACTCTTCCTGAAGATGCATCACTAGAGACTGTTCTAATCTCATCAACAATTTGATTGTCATCTTCATGTGCCTTTTGTCTTTGTTTGGCAACTTTCTTTTCATACTTGTGCATGAGTTTTTGGAGACGTTCTTGAGTCTTTGGATCATTAGCTTCAACACCCATACCTCCCAAAACGTCCAAGTATTCAGTTGGAAGACCGCTAGCTTCAAATTGGCCAGTTTCATGATTGATACCAACGTGAGCAGTGTTTTGGAAATTCTTTACAGAGCCCATTCTAAAGTTTGATCTTGAAGGTCTATTGTCAACTGGTTCTTCGACTGGTTTGACTTCTTCCTTCTTCAAGAACTTATCCTTGACACCTCTAAAGAAACCAAAGACACCACCTGCTGCCTTTTCTTCCTTCTTTGGTACAGGACTACTTGGAGAAGATGTTTGAGGGAGTGGATTCTTTGGCTTGTCATTGGATGGCTTACTGATTGATTCAGGAAGTGGTGGTGGATTACTTGTTGCATTTGATGATACACTAGTTGGTGGAGAAGCAGAGACAACATTAGAGAGACGGTTGTTAACAAAGCTGCTAAACTTTGAAGCAGCAGTCTTACTATTCAAGGCAACATTGATACCAACAATTCTATCATCGCTTTCAAAGGAAATAAAATTGTCATTCAATTGTTCAAATTGGAATTGTTCATAACATTCATGAGACCAAGTAACTTGATTGGTTTCAACATTGATTAGTTTCAAACAAAAGACATTGTTCATCAAATCCTTTCCGAAATAAAGGGCTCCCCAAATACCAGTATAAGACCATTCTTCTTCACCTTGCATACTTTCATAGATTGAAACAACAGCGCTTTGTTCAACACTCTTTTAAAAATATTAAGCGAATGATAATTTTATAAATCAACCTACCAAACCCTTAGTGGCAGTGAGAACAACACTAACGTCCAAAGGATCATATAATTCCTTATTGCTCATTTTTCTATTTTTTTTAAAATTTGATATTTTTAATAACCTTGATCATCTTGGAACATGCTGATGATGACTATTAAGATATTAAACTTCGTAAGGGCATGGAACCTTGTTCACTTTTCAATCACGTCTCTTTCAATGCCAGGCAAAACTATTGTTGCACAAATAAATCTTAATATCTTTCACAACTTCCACTAGCATTTATTTTGCTGCCTGACAGACAACCTATCAACACTTTAATGATTGCCCTGACATTCATATAGCCTTAAAAAAATGAGCAACAGCCAACGAAAAAGTAAGCAATCAACAGCAGCAGCAGCTCCTCATCAGAAGCTTCTTCATCACAACAGCAACGGGATGAAAGTCTACTATTGTTAGCCTACGAGGGTGAGAATATGAAACGATATCCAACAAGAAGAGCATCACAATTAGCAAATGAAGCCTTGGAAATTGATAAGACAGATGATGAAGGTTTGTTTTTTCATCAATTAGGAAATTAAATTGAAACTCTAATAGATTATATTGACGAGGAAGCAGCTTCATCTAGTGATTCCTTTGATGATGAGGAAACTCTTGAAGCTGACTATGAAAGTGATTCAGATTCACAGAAAGAAAAACCATCATCTAAACGTAAGTCACTCTGTCAAAATATCAATCAATATTAATTTCATTCGTTTACCTTATTAACAACAGGTTCTCAAATATCAAAACCTGCTAGACATGTATTAATGTCATGGTTGGAGGAACACTTTGAGCATCCCTATCCTGATGATAACCAAAAAGAAGAATTGATGAAAAAGACCGGTCTCACCATTAATCAAATTAATATTTGGTTTGTAAATTCAAGAATGAGAGTGTGGAAGCCTAGGCATCACGATTCACAAATTACCAAGACTGAACCAAATTCACCAAATGGAAATTCTGATGGTTCAGGAAGTAAGCCAAGACAAGAGAAGAAAATAGACATGTTGAATGATGAATTGAAATCATCACTTGCAGCTCGAATTAATCCAAACAATGCCAATGTTACCAGGACAAATATTGTGGGAAGTTTGCCTAATGGTCTACCAACTCCATCCACAGTCATCTGTAGAGGAAACTTACCTAAAGAAGCTGTTGATTCATTGCTCAAGTGGTTATTCGATAACTTTAGTCATCCATATCCTTCAGATGCAGAGAAAGATGTATTGGCTGAAGAAACAAATCTTACCTTAACACAAGTCAACAATTGGTTCATCAATGCAAGAAGGAGAATATGGAAACCAATTCTCCAAAAAATCAAATCAAAGGGAATGGATAAAGATGAACTCCTTTCTCAAGGAAAACTATCAGAAGTTGCCAAATCATTCTATAAGGACCAGAAAATTGGGGAAGAGGAACCAACAAAGAGGAAATCTAAAAGCTCCAAAGGAGGTTACAGCTCAGATCATGAAGAATCCACACCTAAAAAGCAAAAGAGGGACAACTCTCTCCTCATACCTCAAGACCTGATGACCCATACAGAGCCAACCATTACAAGAGAATCAACGATCAAAACTAGACCAAAAATTGAAAATAACAAATTAACTCATAGAGAGCTATTCATTGATCAATACAGACTCTCAATGGAGAATCAAAAGCTTGAGGAAGATATTCATCAAGTCTATGACAGGTATGCCTCAGTTTTGGAAAATATCAGTGAAAAGAATGTGAAACTTCTCTCCCACATTACCCTCCTCGAACAAAAGCAACAACAAATAAGATTGAATAATGAACTCTTGAAGAAAGAGGTTGATTTATTGAGAAGTAGTAAGGTGGTGAATTCTAATCCTTTCAACGTGGGTTCATTCCTCGTGGAAGAATTAGGATCTTCAATGTAAATTATTTACAAATTTCTGCATGCAGTGACAACATCAGGATGATGCTCAAGGTAGTACTTTGAAGCAAAATCAATAAACTCACTTGTTGAACCAATTTCTTGATAGTTGTCACCATTTTCTAGAATGATATATGGTGACAAGAATTGTTGTGACCATTTACTCCACACAGATTTAAATGGTTTGACAATCCACGAGCTATCAGTATCAATTTTACTCTTCAAATCTAAGACAGCATTGTAGAATTGTTCATGGTTTGGGTGTGATTGATAATTATTGGTTACTTTTGGTGAATAGTTTGGTAACTTTTCAGCAATACACTTGGCAATATTAAAGCTCTTGAAGCTATCTTGGTTTTCTGTATTTACATCTGCAATAATGTGAAAGATAGATTTACTGTTTGCCAATCTATCAGTCAGATATTTATCTTTTCCGAGATGACTATAAAATTCCTTTCTCTTGTAGAGGATAGATGGATTACTAAGTGATCGTTTGATGATGAGTTGATAAAAGATTATTTGAATAACAACGATCGCCAGAATAATCGATAGTTTAAATGTTCTGGATGAATTCCACAAATTATCCAATAAGCGGCTGAGAGGAGGAAGTGGTTTTTCCTTGTTGCTATTTGATAATGTTGCTGATTTTGAATATGACGATTCCGAGAGGGGAATATCAGCAGAGTGAAGATGTGATCGTGAGTGTGTTTGTGGCAGAGTCATTTTATTTATTTGTTTTATTTGTCTTTCTTATTAGGAGGTCACAACTTCAGTTTACAACATCTTTTTGGAAGCCAACTTGGAGTGATGCTGCAGTTTTTCAATCAACGTTTTCAATCCAGTTCCCATTTGCTGTTCGTATTGTTGCAAAATTAAGTTGTTGTTAACAAATATTTAATATAAATATGTGGTTAATATAAAAGAGGTAAAAGTTATTGAAAGTATGCTTAAAAAAACTTACAACTTGATTTTGCAAACTGGAGAGGGCTGCAGGATCACAGTAAATAGCATCATGCTTAATGAGAGAATCTATTGAGACTATGGTTGGTTCATCTATCTTTCCAGTTGTTGAAATATTTTCGATATTTCCTACACTGGTTGGGAAAATATCCTTAATGATCTTTTTGAATGAAGGATAAATGATTGTTTCAATGTAAATTTCTGTTGGTTGCCTAACACAAACACCGGTACACATTTCAAAAAGCAAATATCCAAAAGATTCCAAAATAGTTCTTGCATTATTGTTAAATGAATTTCTAGCAAAGAGTAAAAATTGATCTTCCAATGAAGTTAGTTTGCAGTGGTAGTGAACTCCATTTTCATTGTTTGATTTTTCAATTAGAATATTCTTGGATGAGATGTGAGTGTATTCAAATCCAATTTGTGAAAGAGACTTTAAAGCACAAAGTATTTGTCCACTAAATTGACTAATAATGTCAGGATCCATAGTATTTTCTCTCCTTAATGTTTCAATAAGTTGAGATAGGGTTCCAACTGTATTATGCGAAAGATTGAAAAGAGAGTAGCACCTTCCTTGTCCCAATGAAAAATCGATATGAGAAACTGGCATAATGTATGGAGATAAATTTCCAATATTTGACATCAATTGAATAAAAGACCTTCTCATTGTGGCGTCATTAATCATTACTACTGATTGACTGGAACAATTTGTATAAACCATCAGTCCAAAGTTGACTCCCACTGCTGTATTTGATTGTGATGAATTTGATTGTGGTAATGTCACAAAATTAGTAGAACTGTTAGCACTGTTTGAGCTTGAATTATCATCAAAATGTATATTCTTTGATCCTCTATTCTTAATAGTTTGACAATAAGCTAAGGTTTTGTAAGATGAAGCATTTAAGGTAAGCAATAATTGAAAGTAACTTGTAACAAAATCTTTCAGAGATTCCTTCTTCTCAATGAGTTCATAATCTGTTGGACGTAAGACGGTTCTAACTTGATACATTAAATCAATATGACCCAGCACTTTCTTTTGATATAAGCTCACATAATCGGTAATTTGTCTATTCAAATTATTATTCTTATACTTTTGAATGAGATTTGAAAAACCTTCCTTCAAAATATTTCCACTCGAATCATCTGTTGAAGATTTGTGATGATAATAAGAATTGGACAAGGGAATTGTCTCCTCATCATCTGCTTCATTATTAATATTTGATGATTTCACTTTTCTAGTTGAAGAAATTCCAAAAACTTGTAAAACCGATTCCGAATTAATACCCGATTCATAATATGAAGCCTCTCTTCTTCTCCTAGTTATTATTCTATAAAGAACCAATCCAACACAGGCAAAAAACACCAACACGACCACAATCATCGAGATGATAAATTCGGGCTTTAAAATAAATAAAACTTCATCTGTTTCCGCATTAGAAGTTGCCATCGTTGAAGTGGAGTCCACCATTAAGTTATTACTGTTCATTACTTTTAGAATTTGATCTAACATGATGATGAATTAAATGTGTAGATTTTTTTGTTGAGTTTTTTCGTAAGGTTTGATGGGGAATGTGGCTGAAAGAACCTTGGGAGTGAATTTTGGAAAGTACTCTTGGAATGGAAAGAATAATTTTCCAATAAAATTTAATATCTCGGAGTGTATTGTAATATGCAATAATCAGATGAAAAGAAGTGGCGGAAGCAGGTTGGATCTCTCTTTCAAATAATAGTAAGTGGTAGTAGAATAATTAAATTTGTTTTCATTTTGGCGGTAAAAGAAGATTGGCGCCAATATTACGTACAAATAATATTCAAAAAAATGTCTCAAATAGAATTGAACATGTCTGCAACACCTTCATTCTCGGGCAACTCTCAGGTGCCACAATCCGAGTTTGATCTGGTCAACATGACGGATGAACAACAGAGAGAGTTGGCTGTAGAATTGATTAGAAACACGCCAGAATATAAGGCAGCTTGGGAGCTGGAATTATGGAAAAAACGAGAAAAAACTGTCTACAAAAAACAACTTGAAGAGAAGGAAAAACAACACTTGAAGAATGTGGAAGCAAAATTAAGAGAGGAATTTAGTAAATATGAAAAACAAATCTTGGAACAAAAAGAAATTCTTAAAAGTAAGGAACAACAATACAATCAAGTGTTGGAAGAGATGAATGCAAGAGAGAAACAATTGGTAGGAGTTGAACTAGAGCTGAGGAGAAGAAAAACAGAGCTAGAAACTGATTATCAAAGAAAAATCGAGCATATGGAACATGTGATTAAAATGGAGAAGGAATCTTTTCAACAGCGACTGCAATTGGAAACCATTAAAAATCAAGAGCTTCAGAAGAGAATAGACCAACAATTATCTCACGATGTGATGGAACTCAATGAGAGAATAACAAAGCTTCAAGTAGAAAATGAATCCCTTGAATCAAAACTTCATCAAGCCACTAATTCCAAACAAAATTACAAAATCCAATGGAAAAAAGTATCTGAAGAACTGATTAGAACAAAGAAGAAACAAGAATCAGAATTGAGAAAATTACAGCAAAAGATAATTGCTCTCCAAACTTTACAGACCTCTCCATTGACTCCTTCACAACCACCTCCAATGAATCCATTCTATCCTCACCCAAATATGCCTCAAAATTACCAGTATCCAAATCAAATGAATCCTCACTCTCCATTCTATCCATATCCTCCAATGCAATCCCCATTCGATCCGAATAATATGCAACAAAATCCTCAGAATTTCATTCCTCCAAATCAGCAGCAACAAAAGCAAGATGCCGATGAAATTGGTTCTCTCAAAAAGATGCTTGCCGATCTGATTAAGAAAGAAACAGAAGACAAGAAGGAAGATAGCAAACTCAATACTTCGACATCGAGTTCAGGATCTACCTCTTCAACATCCTCAGGAGAGAGCAATCGTAAGGGTAGTAAGAGAACTTCTCCATCGTCTTCCCCTCCCACTGTAAAAACAGCAAACTCCACCACAAAGAAAACCTCACCTCCTCGTCAACAACAAACTAAACAGGAAGTTTTTGCCTATCCATCGCCTCATCTCGATAACAGTAGATACGAAGAAGAACCATCCTTAAACGAAACCCAAAACGATATTTCTGTTGAGGCTCACAATTTTGCAAATCATGACCAGAACGAGAATGATGAAAGAAGCAGAGAGTTTAAACGATTACTCCGAGAGAAATCCAGACTTTTGAAATCTGGAATTTACGATTCAAAGAGTGATATTATTCTAGAAATTGAAAAGAAACTTCAATCTTTGTAAATACTTACGAATAATATTCTATCTATTAAGCGAAATAAACTCCAGGAAGTACTTGAAGAGATCATCTGCTTTACACTGTAAAGAAACTATTCATTTCTATTGGATGCGTGTTTCTCTTAATTCCATCGCTCATTGGAATAACAAGCTTCTTTAAATAAAAAGAAACCGCCAAAATTCACAAGTAAAAAAATGACCCAAAACTCATCAACACCAACATCACCAATTCTCGGTTCGTCATCGTTTGATGACAACAAATCGGAGGCAAGTTCCACACCTTATGAACCATCCCCAGAGTTATTTAAAAAGCCAACAAAAACAATCATACAAACATCTGATGATGATTATGACTTTGAAGAAGAGAACGATAATAATAAGAAAGAAGAATCTTCTGATGACGATTCAGCTAACAAATACGAAGAAGAAAGAAAAAAGAAAATAGAAAGAAACAAAATGTTACTTGCTAATTTAGGCCTTGGTAATGGTTTATTACCAAAGAATAATAACTCTACCACAACAAAGAAATCAAGAAGGTCAACCGGAAGTGAAAGTGGTGAACCAACAGAAGTCAGAAGATCTTCCAGACTTTCGTCTAAACCAAAACCAGTCTACAACTATAGAGAACTTGAAAAGGTAGAAAAAGAATCTAGAAGAGTCATTGCACAAGAGAAAAAGCTAAAGAAGGAAGAACAAAGATTAAAATACTTTTCAAAGAGAACACTGAGGAAACATCGTGGTGAAGAGGAAGAAAGTGCTGAAGAAACTGATGAAGACACTTACGTTTCCGAATATAATGAAAATAATAAGAGAAGAAGCTCAAGAAATAAGAAGAAGATTGATTATGCAGGTTTGGAACATGGAGACTCAGAAAGTGAAGGTGAATTTGAAGAATTTGACCAGGTGACAGTAGTAGTGGAAGAATCTCCAAAAAAGAAAAAGAAAGTCACCAAAAAGAGTACGATTGCTTCTCCAGTATGCTCTTTTTCAAATTTTACAATATCAGATGAACATGCTGTTAGCTACACTGAAATTGGTGGAACAGTTGCTGAGACACCAAGCGATGAGAATATCACTCATGTCGTTACAAAGGTCTACAAGAGAACTCTCAAACTCATGTGTGGAATAATTAGAGGAGCTTACATAGTGTCGGAAGATTGGCTCCTGGATTCTTTAGAAAATGGATATTTTGTTGATGAGAAACCATATCTCATTAAGGCTGATGGTGTGAGTCTATTACAAGCAAGAAAACGTGCCTTAGCCCAACCAATATTTGCAGATCTCAAATTCTTTATTTGTGATGATGTACAAGCTCGTGATATTGTAACACAAATCATTGAAACAGGTTCAGGGTCGATTATCACTGCCATTGATGAAATGTTGGAAGAGGACTATGATTTTGAGAATTGCTATATTATATACGAAGAGGAAGAGACAAAAGACAAGTATCCAACACTACCAAACGAAGTTTTCAGGACAAAGGAATTTATCTTCACAGCTGCTGTGTCCCAAAAAATAGAAGATGTGTAGACAAGAGATGACATTTGACGACATCAAAATTAAAAAATGTCTCGTTTATTTCCTCTGGTTTTGTTATTGGTTTTAGCCATTCAGCAGATTTATTGCTTTAGAATCATACCTCTCACCACTACATCACCATGTACTGAAATGCAAAAGGAAAGAGTCATTCTCTCCACAGATAGCATGATAGCATTTTGTGTTAACAAACAAGGCTCTGAGTGTTCCACTATTAAATACCTGAATGGAAGAAAAGTGATGGTACACAGAGACCTCTCCGATTTGTTTCAATTTCAACTCGATAGGTACAATGAAATTCATCAGGAAACAATTATACCAATAGTGACACTTGTAACCTCAATCTATGTTGATGCCTTCTTTGGTCATCCAGCACTTAATTTTGACAGTTTTGTTGTTCCTTTAAGTACACTCCAAGATGTTCTTCTTCGAATGCCCTCTTTGGAGAATAGTGAAAGACTACTTTTGTGGAGTGACCTTAATTTCATTGATGAAATGAGCATGCCTATTCAAGTGGGCACTCTCAATGAAACTAGCAAGTTTGCACTAATTGAAGACACAATTTCTACTGAGTATTTTGGGCCTCTTCTTGAAAAATCAAAAAGAAAAACCACAATTGGATATAGAACCTTCAATGAGTTGATACTTTCCAATAGATTTGGACTTGGAAAATTAGATTTACTGAAACAAACATTTATCAAAAGATTATTCAATGGTTGTGATTTGAAAATTGAGGAAGTGGAAACGAGCAATTTCACAATTATCAAACAATTTGAATCTGTGAAGAATCTCAGTATGAACAATTTAATTGACTTGAATGTATTGTATTGCTTTGAAAAGTCAACTCTTTCATTCTATTCATGCAATGACGGTGTACCAGGTACAGTGATTGCCTATGAAATTGAGAAACTTCTCCAGATTACATTTGGATGTCTTCAGCTGTTACTATTGGCAGCAACATTTAACACCAAGTCAATCAAGCGCAGACTTTTAGTACCTTATTTGATTCCTCTTTGTTTGATTGTGGCTAGTATATTCTTCTCGATTTTCATGCAACAAGTTTCCAATACATTGAGGTCTATAGTAACCATTGGAATTACTGCTTTTGTAATTGGGATTTATGGTTCCACTCTTGTTAGATTCTACTATTTAAGGTATTTGTATCGATTTCTTAGCAATTCAACTGATAAGCAAGTGAAAATTCACAGAATTTTGAGTTCTGAATGGTTTGGGGTTTTGGCAACATTAGTATGCGCCATTCTTCATGTACTCTTTTGGTTGGCAATCCTCATACCCTATGCAGTTGTTAATGTCTACGAAAGCAATGTATTATTTGGAGTGAATGTCATTTACCTACTGCAAGGAATCATTGGATGCATTTTGGGTATTGTTTTCATGAGTATTGATATTTTTAACAATCGAAAACTAATTAAGGAAAAGGGACTATTACACTTTTTCACATTTGAAGATCCTTACTTCTTGAGATTGGACATCATTAGTTTTTTCATTATCCTTACAAGCCTAATTTTGATTATAATTTTCAACTTGATAGGTCAGGAATGGGCAGATTATTGTTTGGGCATATGTTCATTCATATCTTTTATTTTCATTTACTGTCTTGGAGGAATGACAGCCATCCTGATTGAATGCTGGAAATTCCTCAAAAGAAAGAGGCGGCCAATAGAATCTACCTCTCAAAAAATTCAAACAGATATTGAACTACATTTAAAGGATCAACACTTTGTTGAACTATTTAAAAGTTTCTGTGAAAAGGAATTTTCACTGGAGAACTTTCTCCTTTACGAACACATTTCTCAACTAAGGACGAGTACTCTCTCTTCTTCAGATAATAGAAGCACCAATTCCATGAACTCATCCTCACTAGATCGTTACATCTCAGCGGAGCAATTCTATCAGTTGTGGACTTTATTCTTCAAGCCATTAGCCAAGTATGAAGTTAATCTTCCAGGAAAAGTCAAGAAACAAATCGAAATAATTTACCACTCAAGAGATGGAACCCCACTAGAAACATTTGAGAATATCGTCCTGACCGAATTGTTATTCAATCTCAAAGATACCTATAGTCGACTTGTAGAGACGAGTGAATTTTCGAGATGGCAATTGGTAAATACCATTCAAACTCAACAGAATATCAAATAAAATGTCCTTATTACTCCTATCCCAACACTCCATCATGAATTTTCACACAAACTTTCACACTGTTAAATAAAATTCCATTACAAAAAAAATGAGCGATAAAGAATCCACACCAAGTCCATCACCATTATCATCAAATAATTCTCCACCTGTTGCCACAACAACTACCACAACAACAACATTACCAAGTGGTCCTAAACAAGATAATACCAAGAGTTTTCTTGTCCAATCATCACCACTTGTTTCCTTCATATCGGGAGCAGTTTATGGATGTACCTCCATTGCTGTAGGACAACCTCTCGATACAATTAAAACACTCATGCAATCTAGTGCTACTATTAATCAAAATAATGCAACAACATTGGGTGTGATTAAATCAATTTATAAGAAGAATGGTTTTATGGGATTTTATCGTGGATCTCTTCCACCTTTGTTTACTGCTTCAGTGTTGAGAAGTTTGCAATTTGGTGGATATGCAATGGCATTACAATATATTATGGAAAATAATGTGTTTTCTGATAAGGATTTCAGAAAGGAAAATTTACATGTTTTGGAGGAGAAACCATTTAGTTTGCATCCTGAAATGTTTGCTGCTGGCTGTTTTGGAGGTGCTGCTAGAGCCATTGTTGGTATGTTTCAATTTTCATGGTCATGTGTTTATTAATAATATTCGAATTATTTCCAAAACATTTTAATAGAAACCCCTGTCGAATATATGAAAGTCAGATTCCAAACTGAACAACCTTGGAAATTTACTGAATTATATCGTGGATTTACTGCAACACTGTTACGTAACATGTTCCTTTTGGGCAGTTTCTTTGTTTTTGTTGACTTTTTCACTCAAGAATATAGAAATTTACAAGTGAGACAACATTTGAAATCTCTTGCATCTGATGAAGAAAGAGAAAAGAGCAGAGGTCAATATTTCGATTTTGCAAAATTGAGTCCATTCTTTACAGGTGGTGTTTGTGCAACTTTGGCTTGGTGGTTAGTTTTCCCATTGGATGTTATTAAGAGTCAAATTCAAGCTATGAAACCTGATGAACAATTGGGCCTTATGCAAAGAATGAAACATGTTTCAAACACTTTGGGCTTCAGAGGATTTTTCAGAGGAATTGTACCTGCTAGTGCTAGATCCATGTTGGCAAATGGTGTTTCAATGATTGCCTTTGCTTATGTTTCATCTCATCTCATTCAAAAATTGGAAAAGAAGGAATAAATTTATTCCCAATAAGTCATAAAAGAATGAATTGAAATTACTGTTTGAGTTTCTTTTGAGCTGGCTGTTGTTCAAGTGTTTGCTGACAAGTACTGGAAGAACGTTTTGTAATCTTTTGCCATTTTCTTGAAACATGATCCATGCAAAAGTATATTGTTACAATTTCATCATTGAGCTCTTCTGAGTGAATTACATATTGTTCCTGGCAGTTTCGATTTTCTCCCATGAAAAATGTAAATATCTGTTTTCTTGTTTCCTGTGTGATTTGATTGCATCCCCTTAATAAATTATCCAGATAGTTGTTGACACGAGAATAATTTTCAGTATAATCATTTGTTAATACCAATTGAGGAGGTTGATAGGTTGAAAGTGAGGCTTGTTGTAAAGTTATTTGTTGCTGAAGTGAGTTAAGATATTTCAATACCTTTTGAACGTGAGATAAATTCTTCTTTAGTTCATTTTGAGGAGAGCTAATCTTGGTGATGGTTATTTTTCTATATTCCTTTCTAATATCAAGGAAAGAAGGGTTACAGAGCTTTTCAATATTCGAAATAACATGATCTCTCTGACCTTGTGTGTTTCTCATTTCAAAAGTTACTCTATTGGGATCTAACAAGTAGGTTCTCACAGACTCACAGGTGCTACACGGACTAGAACCGACAAACATTCCAGAATTCCTACAATTTGATTTTAAAGGTTCTATTTTCCAACTCCATGGCAACTGTTGGATATTTTGAATGTGAGTCGATACTATTCCTAATGCACCAGTTATGAGTAATGATAAAGAAGACCCATTCAATAGAGAAGCTCTAAAATTACTAGTTTCCAACCATTTAAGTAGTGGAATGAGCACAGATTCCACTCTATCAAATGTGTCGCATCTATTCAATATACTTGAGACTATTATGTTAAAATTATCAGGAATACACTCTCTACAAAACATGTATATAAATGAAATGCACATATTTGATGTTAGCTGTGGTTGAGAGGTAAATTCCATCCAAATTGAATTTCTCAAAATATCATATGCATATTTGCATTCCTCATTTGTGAAATTGTTTTCACAATAGGTTGCAATGACCATAGCTTGCTCATAAAACTTGTTGGTGAGCTCAGGAAGGCACACTTGCATCTTTTCTTGTAATAATTGCTTATTCACTTTTGAGGAGTTCTCAAAGAATATTCCATAACAATTAGTAAAACACGAAATATTATCCAATAATGATAGTAAAACATCTTCCAAATGTAGAGTATTGTGCAGTGAACAATAAGGAAGTAATAATTGAAAAACTGTCGCATCTGCCCTTTTCAAAATTGCTGAAATGGCATTTTCTGTGAATGGCATTTGTCTTTCAATCATGTATCTCAAAATGGTGTGAAGATAAGTATTAGGGAGGTGTTGAGTGGCCAATCTTTCAAAAATCTTATCAAAGAACTCTTTGATAAAAACATTTCCATTAACATCCTTGGAGAATTCATTGATAACAAACTGAACGTGGTCTATTCTGTCCTGTATTGTAGACTGGAACGCTTTTTGGACGAACTTTTCAATAAATTGATCCTTCAATTGGTTCATTGGGAAGATTCCAACAATGGCACTCCAACCAAAATCAGATAAACTTGGATGAGCATCAAGATAACATTTCAAAACCTCATAATTTCGAAGTTGAATTATATTCCTAACCATTAAATCTTCTGAAAGCTTATTTGCACATTTAGGTATAAATTGCAAAAGTTGAGTGAGTGCATTAGGTTTCAGACTTGTTGCTTCCATAAATAATTGTTGGCAAATGTAATCCACATCCTGGGTGTGAGCGTAATTGTTGAAGAGGGATGTAGCAAACCTCCTAGAAACAATAACTATGCATCCGTTTCTATACCACTTATCTAAATTGGTTCCCTCATTACCTGTGTGCTCAATTCGAGAATTTGCAAAGTGTTGATCCTCGAGTCTTTCGTATGGAATTATATTAGAAAGCATCATATTTGATGGCAAACTGGAAAATGAAGACCCACTAGTTGTTTTCACATTTTTCAAGTTATATCGAACAGTTGGTTCACATATTAGATCACTTCTGACCTCTATTTCTGTCTCAGAATCAGAACCACAATCATCACCATCTCCATAATAATCATAGTGATCTCCATCCAATTGTCCACTAACTTCTTTTTCAAATATTCCAATAAATAAATGGAATAATAAATGTTCTTGATTGAGTTCAGATAAGAATGTGTACAGCATTTGATCTTTCCCTTTCAGATTCGAAGCTGATAAACCTTCCATAGTATATTTGTGTTCTAGTAACCAAACAATGAAGGGAGGTTCGGTTTTTTCCCATCTTTCAGATAGGTTTATGAATGATTTCTCCAATTTACTCCTCATATTAAATGAGGGGATGGAATCCAAAGCCCCATTATAACAAACATTATAAATTAGACATAATCTGTATCCACTCGAAACTCTATTCACCTTATGTTCACAATCACAGAAAAATCCAGTGTATGAAACCTTATAACTTGAATTCTTTGAAAAATCATAGATTTTTTCATTCCCAGAATGTTTTACAATTAGCTCTCCACCAGAATACACTGAAGGAAGATGAATTACCAAAGTTGCAAACATACCACTCTCCTTCTCTGTATCTCTGTGATAATCAAAGTGTCCATCAGTTTCATAGAGAAGCAGTTTGTAAAGACTATGAGTAATTCGTTTGTGTTTTGGAATACCAAGTCCATTTCGTAACTCATTTTCAACAATATTTCCCACAAAACCATTCCATTTAGGATTAGAAATAATGAATTGGGATGGCTCAAGTTGCCAACTTTTTCTCACAGTTTCATCAATAAGTGTCAGCTCTCCCTTCCCATAAGGTGCCTTTGATGCCACTGAAATGATGTCTTGAGCTTGATTTAAATTAGTAATAGGGAGAGAGCAATGTTTCAATTCAACAGTTGCTCCACTTTCATTGGATGGTACACAAATTTGTAATCCAGGAAGTCCTGGAATATTCTCAACTTCGCCTCCACATGAAAATTCTCCAACACATACATCTGTTTCTGAGCTAGTCAATAAATCAGCCATTTCCTTTGTTGTTTCTGAATATCCAATAACCAACTCATCAGGAAGTATCAATGAGTGGCGTTGATATGGTATCGTGAACATAATTGGACTTGTGGGTTTAGGCCTATGAGAATTATCAAACACAAATGATGACTCAAAAGATTCAGACATTATATTCGGAAGAGGAAATTCCATTGGTTTGAGGGTAATCAGGTTGAAGGTGTTCGTAGATGATGACCCCTGACTATTATGACTAATTAAATTGTTCAATAATTGTGATGTTGAGAGAATGTCATTGGTACTACTACCAATAGTACTACTAATACCATCACCAGAATTAATGGTAGTTATATTAGGAGTAGTGGTATTTCCGAGTAGGTTATTAAATTGCATAATTAATAATTAAATTATTAAATAATATTAAATCATTGGATTATGTTCTAATTTCGGAACAGTTTTTCAAATTAATTGTGTTTATAAATCATCCAATTATAATTTATTCCTCAAGAGTTTTGCTCACACCAAGAGAGAGTGCAAACAAGAGCTATTAGTTGAATTTTTTTTGTCAAAACTATTCCACCAAATATTCGAATTTGCAAATGAAAGCCCATTTACTTCTAAAACGAGAAAAATTATGTGTGCTATCTCATCATCCCATACAGTACTTTCCCAAAATAACAACTTTCCAAATTTAATCAATTTTTAAAAAATCAAAAAAAAACTCCTCAATATAAATTCAAATCATCTCACACACAAGTGAAAAACTCTAAAGAAAAATGGCCTGGAGATGTTCTGGACAAAGTAATGCCGAACTGATTGCCAATCTGTTTAAATCCAATATCATTTCAAGTAATAGTGTCTCGAGGGCAATGTCTCGTACCGATCGTGCACTGTTTTGCAGGAGTGATCATCGAGATTATGCCTACTTGGATCAACCTCTTCCGATCGGAAATGATGTGACAATATCTGCTCCTCATATGCATGCCTATTGTTTGGAATTGTTGGAAGATCATTTGAAACCAGGAAATAGAGCAATGGATGTTGGAAGTGGTAGTGGCTATCTTGTTGCTACTATGGCTGAAATGATGGCTCCACAAGTTGAACATGTGGTTGAAGGAACTAAAATTGTTGGCATTGAATATTTGCAATCAATCTATTTATTTGGAAAGGAAAATATTGAAAAGGTTTGTTTGGTAATTATTTTGAATTTTGTAAATTAATTTTGAAAACAGTATCAAAAAACAAAGGATTTAATGAATCAAGGTATTATTGAAATGATTAAAGGAGATGGATGGAAAGGCTATGCTCAAGGAGGTCCATATCATGCTATTCATGTTGGAGCAGCTGCATCCACACTTCCTCATGCACTTGTTGAGCAATTGGCAAATGGTGGCAGATTGATCATTCCTGTTGGTGATATAGATCAACACTTGATGGTAATTGATAAGGATATCAATGGCAAAGTCACCCAAAAGAAAGTAATGGGAGTGAGATATGTTCCTCTTGTCAACCCAACAAATTGTAAATAATTGTAAAATATTTGTACAAAATTAAAATAATTTATAATAAATTAAAGTGTTATCTTCTTGGTGTTAAATCACTTAGAGCACGAGCAACAAGTGAATTTCTATTTTTACCATAAAGAGGATGGTTTTTCATGAGTAGTAATTGTTCCAAACGTTTCACTATCGTTTCAGCCTCTATGGTTGTCCTAGCTTCATAAAATAGGTTCTCATCATCGAATGACAAAACAAAACACTTTGGATTAGTTGAATCACATTCAATTGAACGTAAAGTGGTAATTGGTCTTGTTGGGTGTTTTGTTTTAGATGAATTCATCCAACGAGAAGTATTGGCTGGCTTTGAATTATAAATAAATTCTGAATCAAAACTGAGAATTCTCTCTTGTCTGACTCCAAACTTATTTGTCTTGGTAACATGGAAAACGTTATCAGTATTATCATAAGTCATGAATGGAAGGGCGTATATTTGTTTTGAAGGTGACCCAATCATATTGGGAGCGGTTGGAGATCCAGATATTTCACCTTTAGGTGTTGATTGATCTGTATCAGACTCGTATGCTGCTGTTCTTACAAGAACAACTCTTTCAATCATTGATCCTAAAGAATAAAGTGTCTTGTCTTTGTAATTTTTGCTAATTTCTTTCAGATTCTTGTCTTTTCCAATAGTATTGATCATGTATTTTTTAGGATCCAAAGAAAAACGTTGACAAAGTACTTTCTGTAAATCTTTGAGTAATAATTCTGGAGATACTGGAACAAGTTTGAAATAAGTGAGTTGGTAATTTCTGGAATTAATTGGGGATGTGAATGAATTGGTATTTGGAATGATGGTTGGTGTAGAACATGAATTTTTTGGTGGTGGAAGGAAAACTTGAAGTCTAATATCTTCTAAATTGAATTTTGTAAAAACTTCATCTCCTCCAAACTTGATATTTAACTCTCTCCTATTTTTAAGATTGGAAGATGAATCATCTTCAGCTCCACTATTTCCACTGGACATTGGTTGAAAATTCCTATCAAGTACAAGTGTTAATTTTACATTACCCAACTGTTCAATCATTGTCTTTTCCTTGTTGAGTGGAGGCCAACTTGTATCAGGTTGACCATCTTCTTCTGCAACTCGTAATTGATAAGCTCTATCGTCAATAGCAATAGGTTCTAGATCAGTTTCTCTTTTATACAGTTCCAGTGCTTTACGAATCAAATCTGTGGCAGTAAAGTTTAGAGATGTCATTGAACTCACAGTTGGAATGGGCACATTAACTTTGTGAACACCTCCTCGTTTGTGTGGCACAAATGTAGCAATATATCGAACAGATTGATTTGCTTGTTTAAAATTACTTGAATTATCATGTAAAAGACTACCTCCAATAGCAGGATTTCTTCTTGGTCTCAAATCCATCGACAAGGATGAATCTACTGTCGTTTTTGTTGGTATCATCTTGTTAACACCACCAAGTGTAACTTTTTGAAAGATGGAATCTTGTACAGGTGGGTTGACTGGTTGTTGATTTGAAGAAGTATTTGATTGTTCTACCTGTCTTGTATCTTGCTCGGGTGTTATTGGATTATTTTCCTCTTCACTAACACCATCATCACCTTGATCTCCATTATTTCTTCTTGGTGTTGTTGTGCCATTGCGAGGAGTTGTTGCTCCTCTTGGTGTTGTTACATTGCCTCGAGGAGTTGTGTTACTTGATGAATTCATTGCTGGCATGTTTTGAAGAGGAAGTTGGAGATTAAATTTACCAGGTGATGCAACACCATTCTGTTTTTGTTGTTGTTCTACATGTCTTTTGTGTTCAATAAATAATAATTCATAATCTTTTAGATCAAAAGTATCGGGTGGTGTAAATGATGTTGATAATCCTGTATTTCTATTATATCCTCCTTGTTGTTGGGCGCCATATGGATCATGATCTGCTCCTGTTGTTGTACTGGAGAAACTTCTTGTTCGAAAGTGTCCAGGATTATTTGAAGATGCTGATCGTTGAATGAGAGGTTGATTGGCTCCATTTGTATTGGTTCTTACGAGAGGAAATTGTGCTCCATTTCTTGGTGGTGGTTGAGGAGGTTGAAAAGATGGATTTGTTGTTGTTGATGTAGATTGTATTTTGAAGGAAGAACTCGTTGATTTTAAAGTACTATTCATCAAACTGTTACCATTACTCACTCCACCCGAAGAGTTATTGTTCAGTAACATTTGATCGTGTATTCGAGGAAGTGTTGTCCTCTTTGTCTCCTTGAAGTTTGGCTTTTTAAAGTGGAGCATTTTATTCAGAATGTTGCTGTGATGGGATGAGAAGATTGAAGTAGTTTATTGCTGATGGAGGAAATGTTCGTCTCCTCTTGTTCTTTGCAATGATGAAGGAAATAAAATGGAAAGGTTGTAGACGTTGTTGTTGTGGCGAGAAGATGTTATTATTATCTCTCTACAGAGTCTATTTTTTAATTATTAATAATTGTTTTAAATAATACTTTTCAATTGTCTGGAACTTGTGATTGATTTTTCTAAATTGAAGACAACGACTAGTTACATGTCGATACTACTTTTGATGAAGAGATGCTTATTCTTTGAGTTTGGAACTTTGTTTCTTTTGTAGATTAGTTGACAAATAGGGGAGTAGAGATACTTGATAATAGGTAAGGAAAGTTAATAGGTAAATTCAATACAATAATCGACCAAAACGAAAGCAATGCTTGATATTCCAAATTAAAATATTTTGATAAGGTGCTCAACTTAATGAACTACTTCATTCAATAAAACTCAACTGTGCAAGCAAAATTCAAATAATGACTTTTAGGTGTGCACTTTATTCAAAAGTACAATTTCTATTCAATAATATAGTATTTGTAATGGTATTACAAAATATAAATCAAATTGAATCAAATTGGAGTTATTGCATAATGTTAATTTACAAATTCTTAGAATTATTTACAAGGAAAATTAGAGAATGACACATCTGTGGTCATTCACACTCAACACTTCTATTTTACAAACAATACCAGATCTTGCAGGTACATATGGAGGAGCTCCTTTTTCATAATCTTTGAATAAATTGTATTTCTAATTTCCAATACTTTATAATAAACTTACAAGCTTCTTGATAGGGAATAACCAGTTCGGCTGTTGTTCCTTCTTTGAGTTTTCCAGATAAAAAGGCTTTCTCCCAACCGTCTATCACTTTACGAGCTCCTGGATCAAGTTTAAATGTATATGGCTTTTTAATTAGCCAAGTATCATCAAAATCGTGATGTTGTCCTTGTACTCGCTATTGTAGTATGAAATATCATGATCATCACACCATTCCGAAATTAACAAAAATGTTTAATCATCTTCTTACCATTTTATAGTGTAGGGTGATATAATCGCCCTGCTTTGGTGTCTTTCCACGACCCTCCTTCATGATATTGATTTGGGTCTCGTTATTTGGATCGGCAGCATCACTCAAAAATAGTGCCATTTTTTTATCTTTGAACATGAAATTTAAAAGAACCAAGTTCATAGTGCATTAATAAAATAATTAACATTATTCAAGCAAGAACAAAGTCATACAATAATTATAGTAAATTTCCTTGTTATATAAAACTAGTTTTCATCAATAAATGTAAGTTGAGGTGGCCGAGTGGTTAAGGCGCCAGCCTGCTAAGTTGGTGGAGTAATCCGCGTGGGTTCGAATCCCATCCTCAACGTTTTTTTACCAATCCATTTTTTGTTTGTCACAGCAAAATTTTGCTTTTCCTTTAGTTCACAACCAGAGAGTTACAAAGAATGATACAATTTATTTAATCATCAAAATCATTATTTACACTACTCAAGCTTCTACTAGTATTGATTGCATTATCCACTTTAGTACTATTTGAAGAATTGAGTTTTTCTTGTAGATATTCATCGTAGGTGAGTGAGGCTTTGGATGATTGATATCTTTCAGAATCGATTATCTCAAGTAATGAATCAGTTATTTTACCTCTATAGCCAGTTTTTCTGATGAGTGAGTGAATAGTCTCTTCTTGATTCCATTCTTGCTCCTTGGAAACTTCAGGAAGATAGGTCTAAAATCAAAATTAGGTTGACCAAAAAATCAGTTAAACTTACACCACTATAACTCA